TTTATGTATAATTTTATGTTGAAATGTCCCGGTTTATAACGTTATCTGACAACGTTAGTTTTTAATGTTATAAAAAACGTGGGATTTACGTATTATGAAACGTTGCAAATACGTGGGTTTTGTGTATTATACAACGTTGCTTTTATGTATTATAAAACGTTGCAAATACGTGGGATTTGTGTATTATACAACGTGGGAAATATGTGGGTTTTGTGTATTATAAAACGTTGGAAATACGTGGGATTATTGTATCATAAAACGTTGGATTTTTTTATAAATTTGGGTAGGATTTTTCTTTATTATTGGAAAATTTAATATATATTTAAAAACAACAAAAATTTATTGTACAAAAAAATATTATCTAATAATATTATACTTAAAGTAAACAAATTAAATTATAACAAAATAACAAAAAAATTACAATGGTATTTTAAAAAGAAAAAATATTGCCTATATATATAACAATTTTCTATACAAGATACTACAACTTTTAAATCAATATTAAAATACCCAATTAACAAAATCTAAAAAATATTATTAATATAATATTATATACTTAAAGTAAACAAATAAAAATATAACAAAATAGTTTAGACAAAAAATTTTCAATGGTATTTTGAAAAGAAAAACTATTGCCTATATTCATATAGGTATTAACAATTTTCTAGATACAAGATACTACAACTTTTAAATCAATATTAATAAAAATCTAAAAAATCCTATTTAAATATTAACTAGAAAAATTCAAATATAAGTAACATAACTTAAAACATGGCCTAAAAAAAATAACAATGCTGGTATTTTAAAGAGAAGAAATATTGCCTATTAACAATTATTACAAATTTTCTAAATAAAGGATTAAACAAATTATAAATTAGCAACAAAAATAAAAAGTCAAAGAAATTTAAGTAGTTACCTAGTTAAAATATAAGTCTAAATAAAACAATTAACAATGAAGGTGAGTTTAAAGTCACAAATTTTTAATTTTCATTAAGGGTTTTGATGCTTGGCAAAATAAATTTTAGCAATTACGAATATATAAGAAAAAATGTGAGGATTTTTGCTTTTGAATAAAAATTTAGAGCACAAGCATTAAAAGGAAAAAATACAAGCAAAAATAGTATTTTTGCCTATATTTTTTTATACACTTGAAAGTTTTTTTTTGATTTTGTATAGTATACAAATTTATTTATTAAATGCAAAAGATTGTGACCTAAAATTGATTTACATATGGATATAATTTATTAATATAAAAATTATTAAGAACCTTTGATTGTTAAAAAAAATCTAATAGATTTGGCTGGTAACCAACACACAATGGTAAATGATCTCCTCCAGTGTCAGCAAACATTAGAAAAGTTGAAAAATAGTTTAATATTCTGAGTTTCCTTTTTTCACAACATTTTGTTGTTTCCCTGGGTAACCAGGTGCTGGCAAAGCATCCCTTATTTCCTTTACTTCTGAAAAAATATTGGTTTATCACATCATCATAAACTTCTGATCTGGATTTTTTTAGATTTTTAGCATTCCTTTGAGTAATCACAATTTTTGCCTCCGGAAAGAATTTAGCCAGTCATTGCCAGGAAGGTTTTCTTTAAAACAACTAATTATCACTGCTTTGTGGTTTAGATATGACTGCACTCTTTTGTATCTTGTCTTGCAAAAGATTATCCATTATCCGCAGATCATCTGTGGCAGATGTAATCATTACACTTGCAATCTACCCAAAGGATAGACGATTGTTTATCACCTCTGCCACGGCCAATTCAATATTTTCTGGGTGATAATTTCTTTGATACACTGTTCCAGGAACATGTTTATGCTTTTAAGGCATCGTCACAGAACAAAACTTATTTTACATAAGGCATCGTCCAAATAACCCTAAAAATCCATGCAAAAAGCAACTGTTTAAAAAAACACTAACAAATTGTTTGTGGTGATTGTTTAGGTTACTAAAAGTTATTTGCCATCCCTATCAGATAAAAATTACCTTATCTTTTAATTATTTTTCCAAAAAACACGGAAGAATTTGCACAAAATTTCGCACGATGTCAACACTTAACCTAAAATAAAGAAATAAACACTTCGTGATAGAGCGGTAAATTTGAATTTTTCTTCGTTTGTTCCGTGTAACCCATAGAAATAATACCACAGAATTTTGTGATAATACTATGGTGTAACCTCTGTTGTTCCATCACCTAACTACGATAGTAAACCTTTATTGAAACTATAATAATTTTAGGTATCTAAAAGTAGGTTTTGTGTATTTCGGCCTTATTTTTAAAACTATGACTTTAAAAATTGTATTGCATAGTTAAATTTGATTTTATAACTAAATTTTAAAAAAATCCACATTAAAAATTTTTTCGACGGGACTTAAAATAATTTTATGTTGCTAAATGTGTGTTTTGGAACGTTGCTGCAACGTTTCTAGCATACAATTTTACAACGTAGTTTGAAAGTGGGTTTTGTGTATTTCGATCGTATTTTTGATATTATATCTTTAAAAAATGTATTGCAGAGTTTGATTTTACTTTTATAAATAATTTATTATAAAAAATAAAAAAAATCCACATTAAAAAATTTGCCGGCGGGACTTAAAATAATTTTATGTTGCTAAATGTGTGTTTTGGAACGTTGCTGCAACGTTTCTAGAATACAATTTTACAACGTAGTTTGAAAGTGGGTTTTGTGTATTTCGGCCTTATTTTTGAAACTATGACTTTAAAAATTGTATTGCATAGTTTGATTTTACTTTTATTATTAATGTTACAAAGGATAAAAATTTAAAAAAAATCCACATTAAAAAATTTGTCGACGGGACTTACAATAATTTTATGCTGCTAAATGTGTGTTTTGAAACGTTGTTGCAACGTTTCTAGCATACAATTCTGCAACGTTGTTTGAAAGTGGGTTTTGTGTATTTCGCACATATTTTTGATATTATGACTTTGAAAATGTGTTGAAGGGTTTTATTTTACTTTTATAAGAAATGTATAATAAAAAAAAATTGAAAAAAAAATCCTCAGTAAAAAAATTTTCGTCGGGACTTTGAAAAAATTTTATGTAGCCAAACGTGGGTTTTGGAACGTTGTTGCAACGTTTCCAGCAATACAATTCTGCAACGTTGTTTGAAAGTGGGTTTTGTGTATTTCGCTCATATTTTTGATATTATGACTTTGAAAATGTGTTGAAGGGTTTTATTTTACTTTTATAAGTAATGTATAATAAAAAAAAATTGAAAAAAAAATCCTCAGTAAAAAAATTTTTGTCGGGACTTTGAAAAAATTTTTTGTAGCCAAACGTGGGTTTTGGAACGTTGTTGCAACGTTTCCAGCAATACAATTCTGCAACGTTGTTTCAAAGTGGGTTTTGTGTATTTCGGTCATATTTTTGATAATATGACTTTAAAAATGTGTTGAAGGGATTTATTTTACTTTTATATGTAATGTATAATAAAAAAAAATTGAAAAAAAAATCCTCAGTAAAAAAATTTTCGTCGGGACTTTGAAAAAATTTTATGTAGCCAAACGTGGGTTTTGGAACGTTGTTGCAACGTTTCCAGCAATACAATTCTGCAACGTTGTTTGAAAGTGGGTTTTGTGTATTTCGCTCATATTTTTGATATTATGACTTTGAAAATGAATTGAAGAGTTTTATTTTACTTTTATAAATAATGTATAATAAAGTATAAAAATTAAAAAAAAAATCCTCATTGAAAAATTTTCGTCGGGACTTAGAAATAATTTTATGTATCTAAACGTGGGATTTGGAACGTTGCTGCAACGTTTCCAGCAATACAATTCTGCAACGTTTCCAAGACAACGTTTTAACTACGTATTTCCCACTTAAAATCATACATTAAAATAACATTTCCAAGACAACGTTTTAACTACGTATTTTCCACTTAAAATGATACACTAAGACAACGTTATGAGTATAACAAATTATTATACAAATTTGCAACGTTGTCTGAATGTATGCAAACGTTATTTTCTACCAGGGTAAGGACATCTTCATCGTAGCTTTTTAATTTTTTTTGTTGTAACTTTCTTAAGTTTGAAATATATGGATCTGAAGATACTAAAAGCCCATTAAAGACATCTCCTTCAATGGAGGTATATAATAATTTGACTTTTGAACTGAAGTCTTTTAAAAAACAATATTTTTTGAGTAAAACTGCAACCTTCCGCAAGATTTTTTAATTGCGACTCATAAACGACTAATGTAGGCAATAATTTATAAAAATAACTTCACTCGATCGCTTTCGATCAGCAACCAAATCCTTCACTGAATTACGTAATAATATACAAAAATAAAGCCTCTAATAAAGTCACTTTATGGATTCAAAGAAATCAAAATTTACTTAATTTTCTTATATAAATTAATATTACTTACCTCCAGGTATGATATTCATGCCTCACACTTTAAAAAAATAAAACCAATAACTGAATAATATTTAAAGTTCTAAATTATAGGAAAAAAATATAAACAATACAATGTGAAATTGTTCAATTGAAATTATTGACAGCGTAATTTCATTTGGATTTGACGCATTATAATATTCATTTGACATATCTAGATGCCTTACTTACTAACTGCAATAAATTTTGGAAGAAAATTATTGATTTGGATATTTTTAGTTTCGACCGCAAAAATTTGCATTTTCGCTTCTGTGCGGCCGAGCAAAAAGTTATCTTTTTTTCACAAACTTCAATTTAAATTCTGCTTGCGCAGAACTTGTTTATTTAATGTCATTATAAACCCATATAAATTTGGTATGGGTCCCATATCTAATAATTGAGATATCGGTATACCCAAAATCCACCACGGTTGCACAAAGTTGTTGTCCAATGCTGGCTGAGTGATCTACAGATACAGAGTGTGCGCAGGAGCATTTGGGTCATCCGTGGGTTAATACTGACATATGTTTTTAGCGTGCCCTCACCTTTAAAACTAATCCTTAATTTTAAATAACAAAACATAATGCATTTTTTTAGATATTAACAAGGCTGTAGACGAATTGGGTAACTTTTTTAATTTAAAAATTTGCAAAATCAGGAGTCCATTGTTAATAAACTGGCTTAACGGCAATGAAGATAATGTTGAATTTGATTCAACAATTTTTATAAATACTGATAAACCCATGGATTTCCATGCTGATATGGACGACAGTCTAAAAAGGTAAGAAAAAAAAACAAATATTCTTCAAATAACGTTAAACAAGAATCTTGGTAGTGCGATACGTATGGTACCCCTCTATTGAGCGTTTGCAATTATGAATTAAAACGAAAATCAAATCGTACCTCCACACCAAAAACGCCCACTTTGAAAGTTAAATGCCTAACGCAGTTTTATGATGACAAGAAGTCAACGAGAGAAATTTTAAGTATAAGAACGTATGGCTAGCCCCATCGGCATCGCTTTACACTGGTCTCCCAGTTATTTTTACCATCTTTCAGTTATCATACGTATCCCGCAACTGCACAGCATTACCTGTGTTTGATGGCTCCAAATTTTCACCCCGGCTGGTAAATCTCTCTTAGGAGATAGTGGATGATAGTTTCGATGGTTAAAGCCCTTTCCGGAAGTTTGTCGCTACCAGGACCTATTCTTGCTTGTCTTGTAGTCTGCCAAAAATTCGGAAACTCTTCAGCGCAATTGTTTGACCCATTGTTTTTACGTTTTTTTAATTCTTTTCTTAATAATTAGAAGTTGCATTTATATTATTTTATTTAATATAATAGCTCTTAAACTTTGTTTTTTTAAATCTCTTATAAGGATTGCAGCAGGCTATTAATTTTGTTCAATGCATAAAATATCGAGGTGTTGAGTGGTTTATTATGTTTATGTTAGGCAAAGATTGGAAGTGGTTTGTAGTGTGAACCTACTTAAGATTTATGTGTTTATTAGTTTTTAAAGTCAAGTCCTTTGGTCGGATATGCTTGTTTCTAATTTTAAGTCAAACTTGCTTTGCTGAATAAGCATTAGATATTCTTTGGTTAATTTTTCCTGTTCGCCTCTTTTAATGTTTTTTTTTATTTTTGTTGTTCTTACAGATTTTTCTACACGAAAAGGTATAAACCCGAAAGCTTGGTAGGCTTGGTAAATTTCGAAATTACGGGTTTTTAGTATTGCGAATAGCGTTATGCTAATATTATGCACTCCAAGCCTGCCTGAGCTACTTTCAAAACCATTTGTTTAAAATAAAGTATATCCCGTATGGTCTAGTGGTTAAGATATGTGGCTCTCAACTTACATAAAATAGTATGTCATGGATCAGGCAAATAATTTTTGGTCCCCGGCTCTCGGTCTTTGCGTCGGCTATGGCTGGTTGGTGACAGACAGCATGCGGGCTGGGGTTTTGTATGAGGTCGTTAGCCGTAAAGCAGTTAAACTCAGCTTTTACACACCCTTTAAATCCAACCGTTTTACCCAAGCCCCAGGTCGCTTTCTTCCTTACTTTCTCTATGCTTATATTTTAAAGGATTTTTTTCTTTATACCTGCTTCCAGGACTTTTCCCAGCTTTTCTTACTTTTCTTAATTATGTAGCTTACCTGGATCAAGCTTGCCCCATATTCGCCCATTGAGCAATGTATGCCAGTATATCTTCATTCCAAAAATTAAAGGGCTCTGTAACAGAAGATGGTCAGGATGCTGCAATTTCACTACTCGTACCATGCAGATCTTTCTCAGAGAGGTTTTAGAGGCGGGATTACATATCCACGCGCCTTTTACAGCGAACCACATTGCGTCCCTTTTACTTTATTTTTTTATGGTGTGTAGGTTATATTAAAATAAATTTGATTAAATTTAATTTGGCTATCACCCACGAGGCATTAAAAAAATATATTTTTTAACTTTTTTTTTTAATTTCTCGGAAAGAATTTGCGTATTTCTAAATTTATAAATTTTAATCAAAGCTGACAGCTGTGTTTCAAGGAAATTGTTAGTGGTTAGAATGATTGCTTATACATTTTGTTTTCCTTGACTTTATCAATTCATGTTATTACTTTCTTAGCAACCTTGTGATTAACCTAAGCCCGTTTCAGATAGATGCGAATTGCGAAAAATGCTCCCATTGGTCCATTTGATTTTTTGCGGGAAAAGCGTTTCGACGTTTCTGCGAATTCGCAAGATTTGAATCTAGGGGGAGGGAATCTTGAGATTGAGCGAAAATCGCACTAATTTGACTTGATGCACATGCGTTTTGCATGCACATTAACGCAATTGCTTATCATACCTACTCCATTTGTGTTTATTTCGTTTGTATCGTAGTGTTTTGTTTTGTTGAGTTTTATTCAAACTGTTTAAATAATTGTTTGAAGTTTTTTTTGTTTTATATAATGGACAAAGAGTTTTTGAGGTACATTAATGTTTCTTATTTTACCTTTAGTCACTTTAATATTTTAGTACTTAAAATAGCATAAAAAATATCGCCTAGTGAGAAAGCAATGACCCTAAAATGATTCGCATCTATATGAAATAAAATATTCGTATTTTGCAATTCGCATTTCGCATGTGTATTAAACCACTTAAACTTAATTTTTAGGGCAGCCTATATTTGCTCCAGCATAGACTCTCAAGTGTTAAGAGGAATTTTGATAAGGGCTATAGATGAACCAAGCGCTAATGAAAAACAAAATTTATATTATAAAGCCCGCTCTTTAAAATGTTTATGTGCAATTTCAAGTCCAGAGACTATAGTGGAATTAATGGGTGCCACCCATAACGAATTAATGTAAGTATAATAACCTTGTGTAAAAGTATGAGTGAAATTTGAATTATGTATATCTTATAAATAATTTAAGTTAGGAACATAAAATTTGGTGTCCAGGGAGTGTAAGGTGGCACTTTGCTGGGGGTCAAATTTAAAAACCAAAACTTTACCACATCTTTTTATTTCAGATTTATTATTATAATTACCGCCTTCTTTGATTTGAAATTCTTAATAGTTATTGTGTGTTACTGTGTAGGATTTTAAAGTCATTCTGTTTTGGGGATTTTAGGTAATAATACCCAGTGCTGGCTCATGGTTAATTGTATAGTGGGGTAATAGTAAAATACGCCGAAGGCTAAGTAAGGCGAATGTTTTTTAAGGCCACGCCCTAATTTCGTCTTATTCCTGATTTTCTAATGAACTATATGAAAAAAGCGTTCTTTTGTACTTGTACTTTTTCATTATCTTAGAATCAAACTAAATTTTTCTTGTTACAATTGGGATATTTTTGCCGGTGGTTTTTAACTACTCGCAATAAGTATCAAATATACATATATATATTTAATATATTTGATTTACCCATTGACTTTATCAATAAGAATGTAGAATTTTGGACACAGGATGAAAGCTATCAAGACAATCTAGTATTTTTCAAACGTCTTAGCGTTCTCAATGATGTAGCAGGAGGAGTTGCATTAATAGAAGAGTACAACAAATTTTTGATTCTAAGATAGTGAAAAGTTATGGTATATCATTTTTTATTTTAATTGATAAATTATTGAAACATGGCTTTTATTACCTAAAAGTCAAGTGTAAATAGAATATTTATTATTTGTTTTACCGCATAAAACTCGATAAACTTCACGAAAAATATTATATTTCATGTTTTTGAGCCAGTATTTCGTAATAGAGTACGAAAAACTATAAAAGTCATCATTTACTATTTGAGGTTGACCTTTAACCCCAAATAACTTTTAAACGAGTCGACTAAGCAAAAAATCATATCAGATCTTGTTTGTAGATCGTTCAATTCCCTACAAGAATGTGTATTGATTTCTTAAACTCACTGATTCGTTAAAACGCAATAAAATTATAAACAAAAAAATGTTTTTTTCCGTGTTATTTAAATGAAAAATAAAAAATCGCGATGAGCCACCTCTTAATATTAATATTAAGAGCTCAAACTTTATCAGAATTTTTTTTTTCGTCATCTTGGACGATATTTTCATGGTTACTAAAGAAAAAAAAATAAAGTTTTTTTTGGCCCAGCCTAATATACAGGGTGTTTCTTTTAACTTGAGACAGCTCAATATCTCGAGAAATACGCATTTTAACAATAGTCGGCTCTGAAAACAATTTATAACAAATATTCGAAATGTCGTCCTTCCATTTCGACACACAATTAAGAAGGGGTAGGGGGTGGCTAGCGGTAGCACCAAATAATGTCCCCTTTGGTCACATTAACCTTTTATTTAAGACATTTTTTCGTGAAATGCGCATTTCTCGAGATATTGAGCTGTCTAAAGTTTAAAAGAAACACCCTGTATACGCACTAAATTATGAAATATGAAATAAATTAAGGCGGGTTTATACAACAATTGATAATTTAGTGGACAATTTATTTCATAACTCAATTATTATGGCGGGTTTATACAACAATTGATAATTTAAATTAATTAGTGGACAATTTATTTCCTAACTCAATTGTTAATTTAATGCATAATTTAATACATAATAGATAACTTTAAAATCTGGTTTATACAATTCATTAATTTAATAAGCATTTTATTTTTTCAAATGTCAATATTGATCATTAAAATTATGAATTATAAATAAGATTGAACAGCGCATGTGCTAATAATTTTTCTCTCTCCATTTTTCAAAATTATAATTAATAATTATTGTGTTTTGTAATTGTGCCTTAAAAATATTACAAAGTTCCTACAAGACATGAGTTTTAATGAGGGAATTTGTGTTATTGGTCACTTTTAATTATCAATATTGTCATTTGACAAAATAAAATATATATTAAATTAATGAATTGTATAAACCAGATTTTAAAGTTATGTATTATGTATTAAATAATGCATTAAATTAACAATTGTGTTATGAAATAAATTGTCCACTAAATTATTAAACCTGCCTTTAAATTTTATGAACTTTCAAGGTTATTCAATAAACACTAAATTGTGAGTTAGGGATTAAATCATAGCAGAGAGTATGATTTCGTAATATCGGCTATGAAACAGTTTATACAACGATTTAATTCGTAACTCACAATTTAGTGTTTATTGAATAACCTTGAAAGTTCATAAAATTCAATTGTTGTATAAACCCGCCTTAAAGGCACTAAATTGTGAATTAGTGCTTAAAATGTATTAAAGAAAAACAATTTTGTTTTAACTCCCTGGAACTTAAAAATGAACATTCTTAAAGCATATGAAAAAACCTTAGATGTATACGCCTACACCCTTTTACAATCACATTTAACATTTTTTGCTAGTCCCATGGGGCTACTGCAGTTAGTTTTTTTATACCTATATTAAAAACTAAGTAAGCCAAGACTTAATACTGTTTACTATTGAAAGAAGCAAAAAATTTAACAAAAAATATGTAACGTGATTTTTAAAAAGTGGACTTTATACAGTTTGGTTCTGGGGTGTACATGTAATAGATTGGTACAGCTTTATTCTTTTAGGTATTTTATCGAAAAATTGATATTACTGAGTCGTTTGGAAATTTTCGGGTTTAATCTCAACGTCGAAAGTTTAAATCATTACAACAAAAAAGAGCTTTTAAAACGTCTGATTCATGACAATACTACACCATTAGCTGTTAGTGTAATGGCCGACATTTGCATAATGTATTCCATTGAGGAAATTAAGTACTGGAAGTTTATTATAGGAACATCTATAAAACTTAACATGGTAAATATTTTTTATTGTATTACTGCTAGATATCTATCTAAATTAAGTGATGTTTCAAAATGGAGAATTTTATATAATGCTGAATTTTTTAGTTTGCTGAACTAAAAAAATACTTGGAGTACCTAAAAAACAAAAAATGCCAATACCAACTGTTTTATATTAGTGCCTGGCAAGCCATTATTGAACATTCATTTAGTATTAACAATTCTTTACCTAAAAGCGGGGTTGATGGTGTGTTAACGAAGAATTTCCTATTGATTCAGGTACCTTAAGTTTATAATTTTGAATTTATTAATGTTTTTGTAATATTCCTTTTAGTCTTGTCCAGTTTTATACTCAATTAATTTCGAAAATACTATTAAATCATGTTTAAAAATGCAAAAGTATGATTATGCTGCACTTTTACTGCCCTATATTGAAGGAGAAAAACAAAAGACTTATGCTGAGGTAAGATTTTTTTAAACTAAATTTGAAATAAGCATATCTGGCACTTCCCTACAAGTCAAAGGCACCTACATTTTTGTGAAACCAATGAAATTGTTGGGTAAAATTTACAATAATTGCATTGATTGTTGATGAATTTCTTTGGCTTTATTAAATTGTGTTTTGCATAAAAGTGTCCAAACAAAAATACTATTTATTTTTTTAGCAAATTCAAAAGGCTTCAGAAGATATTTTGGAAGATTTAAATAGGCTTAATCTTCAAGGATTATGTGTCTCAAATGTGAGTAAAAATTTATGTTAATATATTTATCTTATTATTATTTTAATATTATTTTAGGTAAAACAAATTTTGGGAATATTTTAACTAAGATGTTATTTATTTAACCATAAATTAAGTTTTTTATATACTCATACAATAGTAAAAAAATTGTATGTTTAATTAAACATTTTTTTATTTAATTAAGATTGTTAACAAATAAAACAAAATTCAAACACATGACATAGTTTGTTTGGTCCATTCCTTAAGTGGCACAGTGGGTGCAAGGTTTTCGATATGCTTGCAAATATTCAGGGTCAATTTTTTACCGTCGCTTTCTTGACAGCTCAAAGTTGAAGCAAGAACAGCCCAAGTGTCAGCCAAGTTGGGATAATAATGAACTGCCTTTTGTGCTGCTATTTTGGCTGTTTTCACATCGCCGACAGTTAGTGAAGCCATTGAAACCAAACACAAGACCTAAAAAATGTTTTTTAGTTGGTTAAAAAAAATAATTGTATTCTACCTTTGAGACATCCATTGTAGTTTGCCCTAACCTCATAGCAACTATAGCGCACTTGGCCGCTGCCTTGGCCTTCTTTTTTTCCTGTGTTCTCACCAAAAGTACTGACAATGTGTACCAGACTGAGGCCTGATCAGGGTGCCTATGTATAAGCTTGCTTATTTCTATAGAGGCTCGATCTGAATCGCCCTAAACAAAAATTCTTAGTCTGGTAGGCCGTTTTTATTTTTTATTATGATGACAATAAAAACTTTTAAATTGACATTGGTCAAATATTAATGACGTTTTAAAATGGATGATTGATATCAAGAACACTCTATTACGAGTGTTCTTGATTGATGTATTTTTAATTACCTGAAGTAAGTATATGTAAGATAACAATAAAGAATAGTGCTTCAAACAATCCTTATTATCCTTTAATTTGTTCAACTCAAATATAACCAGTGTTGCCAATTCTATATCTTTGTGTAATAATCCTAGGGAAAGGGTTGAATATAAACCCCAGACAGAAGGAGGTTTTAGTTCCAAACTGAAATAAAAAAATCGTATTAAGTAGTCAAGATAGGATAGACTACGCTCCACACATCAAAGTCCCAACACGTGACCTTGATAGAAATAATTAGGTTAATTTTTTGTCACTGTGAAGCTAGTTTTGTCTTATTTTCTGAAAATAATACAATATAATATGTATTTTTTGTGTTCTAAATTAAGACCTTTATAACCAAAAAATACATATATTGCATTATTTTTAAAAAATAGGAGGAATTTAGCTTGACACTGACAGAAAATGAACCTTAATTATTTGTATAACTAGATAAAAAAACAAACACTGTTTTTTGAGTTTGACGAATTTATTTTAAGTTAATTTGACAATTGTTTCCATAACACCCCCGTTGTAAATGACCGATTAATTCCTGTAGATACCAATTGAAGTATTGATTGGTATCAATGGGTCTGAATTGGACTTAATTGGGCGCGATATAAAACAGAAATGGTTTTTACTGGTATTTTCCATGATGGAAAAGTCCAACCAGGATTCTAATGTTTTTTATTGGTTTCGATTGGATAAAGCTACCCATGGGTAATTTCCAATTAAATTCAATTGGGCATTTCCAGTGTAAAATTCGAAAAAGGTTATTCCCAATACTTTAAAATATGGAAAAATCCAAGTGATGATTCGAAAAATCTGCTAATTGGTTATTCCCAGTACAATACAAATATCGCAAGAGGGCTCTCGTGTAGCTGCGCAACAACACAAACAAGTCTTTGGACGTCATTTATTAGCGGGTTTTGTTGCACTGGGCCGTATTAAAATATATTGAATCAATATTATTGATCATTTAATATTTTAAATTTATTTTTTTAAACTTTGATGGAAAGGTTTTAAAATATTTATAAAATTTATATTTTTTAAATTACGAAATTAACAAAATTTTGGGAAATAATTTCATTATTATTTTAAATTTATTGTTTTAAACTTTAATTATTAAAGTTTAATGAAAATATTTATAATAACCTCTTTTATTTCCACACTTAAGTGATTTCTTTTAGACCGTTTTTTAACTGGGCTTAACTATGATTTCGCGAAAGAATCGAACGATCGATTTACAACACATCTCAGATTTTTTTTTAATTTTAATATTTTGTTTATACATCCAATTTAACACTAAATCTAAAATTTTTCTTTAATCTGACTTAAACTTTAGTTCCTAGAAACCATTTAATTTTGCCTTTCACAAAAAGGCCAAATTCCATTATTTTGGCATACATTTTTTATTAAAATACTGAATGATTTGAAATTTGGCCCATGTATGACCCATATTAGTACCTACAATTCTGTCAAAAAAAGTTTTAATTTTTTACATACAGGTGGCGCTGCAATTTTTTTTTTCTTCGAAAGTAGACGTTTTTTGAAGACAAAAAATTCTCTTAAGCAACAATGCTCAAAAAAACTAAATAGCGTACCAGATAATATAGATATTCCTTTATAATTCGACATATAAAAATTTACTTGCAAATGATGTTGCCGCCAGTAAAGCCAACTTAAAGTTTGGTCTACCGCATTAAAAAAAATTGAATTACACTTTCAACTCTATCATTATTTATAAACTAAGGAACTCCAGGTGATGGCTTTTATTGGTAACTAAAACGCAACAAAAAAAAGTTTTATTTTTTTATATACAGGGGGCGCTGCAGCCTTTTTTTCAAAAATATAGAGACCATAAAGTTACTATAATGTATCCGATAAAATAAATATTCTTTTATTGTTTGACATATAAAAATTTATTTGCAATAATTAATGCCTGTTGTAGGGACGATTAAAATTATAACTAGTGCACGTACCCGCATGCGGGTATAACAATATGCACTAGTGCACGTACTATAGTAAGTGCACTAGTGCATATTGTTATATAAACGCCTTTTTTCGCTTTTATTGTTGTATGCGGACAAAAGGTAACAAAACCAAAGAAATTTTAATTACAAATGGTAACAAGTATTTCAGTGACTCTATAGTAATAGTAATATGACCATTTGTTTAAATATATTTTAGTATATTTCGAAAGGCAAAGCATTCTTTATTATCTTACTTTAAAATAAAACTAAAGTCAAGCCTATAGGCTGGAAATCAAGTTACCCCAACAGTTGATAGTTACTGTCAAACGGTAACCATAATAACATTTAAAATTTTGCCGTTATTACAAAAGTTGAAATTGGAGAGGGAAAATATCATGCTTTTAAAGGTACGCAAAGTTAATAAATTTTCTTTAAGTAAATCAAAATTCTAGGAATTGAATTTTCTTCTGGAGTAAACATGAAAGTTCCTTGGACATCATCGAGTCGACAAAAGGAAAATCTAAATAATTTAAAAGCAATTAAATATAGGTGCGACGAATTACTTTGCAGTAGGGTTTTTGAAAATGAAGATGATCTTCTAAACCATCTTAAATTTCAAAATCATAAATTTCCTGAAATTAGACAAACTATAGGTGATGTTGCTAGAATGGAATTTTTAAAACAAAAACTGCAACTAGTTCAACAATATCTACCGTTAATATATGCCCAAATGAAGAAGATAAAATAGTAGATTATGTCATAAGGAGTAGAAGCGACTCTTTTTGTGGTGAGTACAGAGATTGACGGCCGAAGCGTAGCTGAGGCAGGCAACTGTACGAAGCACAAAAAGAGCTTCTACTCCAAATAACATATACAATTTTTTTTTCAAGGGCGTAATATAAATAGGATAAGCAATGGAATTATTTTATTTACTCTTAACTCATGTGGTATAAAATTTTGGCTAAAAGCATTAGAAATTATTGATAAAAACTAAAAAAACTTATAACCCTTACTTACAATGCCGATAAATATCCTAAACCATAGATAACAAAGCCTAAACTAAAAATAAACCCTGCTCTGTCAAAATGCTGCGCTTGAATTAATTTTGACGTACTGACATTTGTTTGGAGTTCCGACATTGGCAACTCGTCTATCATCATAATATTATACTAATAAACTAGTTGTTCTTTATTTCTTTCAATTAAAATTTAATAAATAATCACTAAATATTCCGTGCGATTATAATTAATATAATTAATACAACGTGATTGCGTTGTATGAAATTCTAAATTAATTTTATTATTTGACGTCTATTGACACACCTATGGATTTACTTCTATCCCTAGGCTTTTTTGAGTTTTTTGTCTGCCGCTAATGAAAAAGACGCACTTCAACTATCTCTATACAGGCATATAAGGTTGTATATCGTACAGTTGCCTGCCTCAGCTACGCTTCGGCCGTCAATCTATGTACTCACCACAAAAAGAGTCACTTCTACTCCTTATAACATAATCTACTATTTTTCGAGTTTATGCAAAAGGGTTCGGAAGGCGCAAAATTAAAAAATCACGTTTTAATGAAAAACAAAAAGATTTTGTTGGCAACCTTTTTGAAGAAGGTGAAAAAACTAAAATTAAATATACGCTTGAATATATAGCAACAGCTTTACAAAATTATGAAGTAAATGGCAAATTTTATTTTTCTTCAAACGAGTATATGCATCCTAATCAGATACGCGGTTTATTATCAAGATTATCGTCAGATAGAAGGTTAAGTAAAATAGAAAAAGAAAATTAAAAAATTTGCCGGAAGAAATTGAAGAAATTAGCCCAGAAGCGGATGAACTTTATTTGAAGTTTTATCAGTTTTAAAGTAGTTCCTTTGCGGCCTAAGTAACTTTTAAGTTATAAATAACCCTGGTTAAAATCTCTAGACTGATTCTGAGAATCGCTCTAGAGATTTGAACCAGCCGGTATGATATAAACCAGGGTTATTTATAACTATAAAGTTAGCCGAACAAGTTTGAAATTTAATGTAAAGGTAATAATAATTATTAGGATATATTTTTATTATTTAATATATGCAAATCTTGCAGATAAATTGTTATATGTTAAATAATAAAGGAATACATAACTATATTATCTGAAATGCTATATAGTTTTTAAAGAAAAAAGGCTGCAGCGCCCCCTGGGTGTGAAAAAATAAAACTTTTTTTTTGCTGTGTTATTGTTACCAATAAAAGTAATATCCTGGAATTTCTTAGTTAATAAATAAGAATAAAGTTGTAAGTGTAATTCATTTTTTTTTAATGCGGTAAACAAAACTTTAAGTTGGCTTTACGGGCGGCAACATCATTTGCAAGTAAATTTTTACATATCAAATTATAAAGGAATATGTATATTATCTGGTATACTATTTAGTTTTTTTGAGCATTGTTGCTTAAGAGAGTTTTTGGTCTTCAAAAAACGTCTATTTTTGAAGAAGAAAAAATTGCAGCGCCACCTATATGTAAAAAAATTAATTTTTTTTTGGTAGAATTGTAGGTACTAATAGGGGTCATTTATGGACCACATCTCAAAACATTCAGTATTTTAATAAAAAAATTATGCTAATATAATGAAATTATGGCTTTTTGCGAAAGGTAAAATTAAATGGTCTCTGGGAGCCAAAGTTTAGGTCAGATAAAAGAAAAATTTTAGATTTAGGGTGGAATTAGATGTATAAACACAATATTAAAATATAAAAAAAATCTGAGATGTGTTATAAAAAAATACCCCAAAATCGTTCGATTCTTTCGCGAAATCATAGTTAAGTCCTCAAAATGTTCAGCTTCGTCTGTGCTAGACATCGCACTTAATTGAATAATAATAATAATAACAATAAAAACCAAATAACCAAAACAATGATAGCAATAACAACAACAATAACAACAAATAACGTTATATAACAAGTATTAATAATAAAACAATAACAAAAATAAGCACAAAGATGAAAGCCGCGAAAACAAGGAAGTAATCAAACAATACGCTATTAATAACCGCAATGGACATAATGCGGCCCTGGCAAGAATTTTCGGCACGCTTCACAACTCTGAATCGCCCAATAAGAACCGTTCTATCCACCTGCAAACGACTGATCACGCGTCTGGCGTTTTTTGTTTTAGTCCGTCTTGGATTTGACTTGACTTTAATATCACTTTTATCTATGGAATGACATATATTCCGTAAAGTGTTACAGAATAAAATATTCTATCATCTGATGACAGAATAAACACTCGTGGCGACATCTCTGTTTTTAATATCTAACAAATTTTAGACCGATCCAACCTCACTTTCTTCCAATTAAATTATTTGTCTATGGTATTTTTTGGAAACGTAGAAAAAGTATAACCCTTATAATCTGTGAAAGTATAGTCTGAAACACGTTTGGAATTGCCTATTCCCCTCTCGTGAAACCGTCAAACTCGCCTTTGGCTCGTGTGACAAACTTTTCACTCGAGCGGAATATGACTTATTCCAAACTTGTTACAGAATATACTATTATATGTGTAAGGTTTAGGGACGATGGCGTAAGAATGGTTGTCATAGCGTACAAAATATAAAAATTGACATAAACAATATCGACTTAGAACATGCTTACAAACATCCTTTTCAAGAAAGACAAAAAAATGATTATAACCGAGTAATTTTATTTATTTTTTATTACTTTTTTGTGATAGTAAGTTATATCACTAAAAAATAATAAAGAATAAAATTACTCAGTAACAATAAATTTTTTGTGAAAAATGAATTCTGGTTTTTACCCGGTTATCCTTCTGGGATCTAAAATTATTTTTGAACGAAAAATAAACTGGTAGGTATTTTCTAATCCAAATTTAAAAATATTAATTGGTTGGAATGGGTTTGGCGCTATGAATTACCAATGCATTCCATGTGCATTTCTATTGGATTTAGCCAATAGAGACAAGCATAGGCATGGATTGGTATTTTCCAAGCCGCTGACTTCATTGGAACTTACCAATGGGAATGCAACTGGAATGAATTGGTAATTCATAGCGCCAAAACACATTTCAAACCAATTACTTATTTTTTATTGGATTCTATTGGTCATTTACAATAGGGACAGTAGCTTCTTCAGAAATGATTTCAAACTGTATTTAATAACAAACTTATATAACACAATTATTGCGCTGCCGTGCTTAATCCCTGATAGCACAGTTTATTCTAAGAATGTTTTTTAAACCTTCCAGTGGGAATATTCTTAGGGTAATGATATATTTCTTCTAGTCATGTTCTAAGAATGTTTTTTAAACCTTCCAGTGAGAATATTCTTAGGATCATGCTATATTTCTTCTAGGCATGTTCTAAGAATGTTTTTTAAACCTTCCAGTGAGAATATTCTTAGGATCATGCTATATTTCTTCTAAAGAACATGCTTAAAAGAAATATAGCATAATCCTAAGAATATTCCACTGGCCTATAGGCAGGTTCTTAGAAGGTGCAAAGGTAAGTGGTAAAAATTAATCCACTCTAAACATATGCTTAGAATGTTGAGAAAGTAATTGCTATAGAAAGTTCATTTAGGAATATTCCAGGAACATTCTGTTAAACATATTCAGTTCAGTTAGGTACCTATATTATAGTAAAATATACCATAATCTACGTATTTAGGTACCTATACTTAGTATTAAATACTAAGTAAAAACACAACCCAAAATATTTTTTTATAGTTATTTGTCAAATTAAAACAATATTCGATAACAAAAATACTTTTACCGATACCGATGGAAAAATAATATCAAATGGTTTGTCGTAGGCGGAAATAATCGCTGACTCAGGTCAGTCGGTCTGCGAAAACATCACGCTCGATAATAAGTACTATAAATTTGCTTTTTAATTTAGATTAAAAAATCTAAAAAATAGGCGTAATTTTTAAAAATTTTATTTTCTTTGTAAAATATAAACGATAGAAACTTGACTCCAATTTTTTGTAAAAAATGAAATGCAATTTAAGTATCATCAGTCATTTATATTTTAAAAAAAAAGTGGTTACCTTTGTTATTCCTATGGAAAATTTTAAAACTCGATGCACCTTGAAATTGTAAATTTTGGGTTGAGATTGGGACAGAATTTTTATTTTGACGTTTTGTTTGGAATTTTTATGTGGAGCATAGTGCATAAATCGTTATTATTTTTTAACCGCGGTTTTCCATTCAGTAGCTTGAATACATGAATTTAGTTACCTTTGTAAAAGTAGGGTTTTTGCAGCTTCTTTTCCCTGAAACATGTAAGCCATTGATGCTAATGCTACAAGCATATCACTTTGGGAGCCTTCTTCATCAGTTAACCAATGTAACGCCTGGTCATATGCATTGTAAGAATCTTCATATTGCTGATCTATAGAGAAAAAACAATAAATTACGATTTGTTGGCCCAACAATTGTGTGTTATTACCTTTAAACAATGCTAGGGCCAACCCACTACCACTCTTAGTGGTTGCTTCTTGCACATTAGCAAACATTTCTATGGCCTTAGTGTATTTTCCATTTCTATACAATATTCTTCCATAGTTAATCCTGGCCTGATCTCTATGGCCTTTGTCAGTTTGCCTGTAGGCATTTTTAAAAGCAACTTCGGCACCTTTCAGAAGCCCCAAGCGTTCTTTTAGAATGCCCAACATGTTCCAGGCACAGCTGTTATCAGGATTTTTTTCTAAAAAATAAAAATATGGGTTTTTAACTTGCACCATGCAATAGTTATTCTAAGGGTAGAACATTTTACTTAATTTATTTTTTCTGGTAAGCAGTTTTCGAGTTATTAGTCATTTAATTTTAAAAAAAAAACTTTGAAACAGTTTGGATAAGTCAAAATATTTCATATCTATGCTATAAAAACAAGTAATTACAGAATAGTTAAAACCTTAAATTATCATAAATATATTATTTTTAATAAATTTTAACTTTTTATATTTAAAATTTAAATTCATTACATTTTATATACTAAAAGATTATTTTATATAAAAAGAAAAGTGTGTATTTGCCCTAGTAAAATTGTAACACTTTTCCCCATAACTACTATAGTAACAGTACTAATTACTAATCAAATAGTATAAGAAATTTAAACTAAAAGAATGAAAACACAAGTGGTTTACACTTATGAGGTTCTAATTAGATAAAATAACAAAAGTATTTACTGTATAAAAGCGAATGGTCCTATAAAGAATATTAGTTTCCTCTAAGATTCTTTACAAGATGTTTAAGTACTTTATTATTTTTTGTGTGTTGATTTGTGTTTGTTTGGGTGATGATTTTCATAAAAAAAATCATAAAATTAAGTATATAAAGAAAAAACACCATTTTCCTCATCATTTAATTTGTAAGTATATTTAAAAAAATGTGAAATGTATTAAAAGTATTTATTTATTTGTTTAGATGCTGGCTTTACATATTTAGCATTTCTGGCGATAAAATTTAAAATTATTTTCTTTTTTGGAATCGTTTTTGCTGTTCTATGTGCAGGAGGCAAAATATTCGCTTTTATCAAATACTTGGAAAAAGGAAGTAAGCATAAATCATGTTTTAGGGCTTATTTTTTATTGAATATCGGGAAAATAATATTGTTACATTTTTATAGAACACCCTGAAATCATAGAACACAGTCCAGAAAAAATATACATCCAACCCCCCAGTCACGGTTACGATTTTTCAAGTGGTCCTGTTGGCCCCCCTGGAGATGATGGCTTCAGTGGAGCTTTTCAGGATTACCCACCTCATGATTATGATAAATTAGATTCCTACTATCCACCCTCATATGGAAAAGGCCGAAATAACGATGACATTTATGGGGAATTCGAAGGTTTTACAAAAATGTTGAAAACGTATGTAGTGTGTTCACTGGGTAAAAAAGATCTAGATAAATTTAATTTATAGTTTAAACTACGTTAGTACTAAAACCAAGAAGCTAAATAAAGAAGGAGTAACTCTTCATCACAAGGCATAATATGTTACGCCAAATAGCGGGCGCAGTGATGACTAAAAATGCTCAAAGTGCTACCACAATGCTTGCTGGGTAATTTATAATACATACACTCACACTCTGTACGCATAAGTATTTTGTGCATCCGTAGGTTACTCCTGAGTACATACGTACTTTTTTTGACGCGCCCTCGCCTAGCTTAGTTACTTCTACTTTCTTTAGTCTTAATTCTTATCTTGACAGGTTCATGAGATATACACAAACTAAAATGATATTTTCTATGCATATAGTAACTGTACTATATATCTTTTGTTTTTAGGGCAAATTTTAGCGATTTGGCATTTGATAAAATGAATATGACCACATTAGATTGCAGAAAACGATTTGTTTGTGAGTCAGATTATAATATGAACAAAATAACAATTTTAAAGGCTGGGTATGATATGTTAAAGTAAGTTTTTATTATTAGTTTTTAAAAATATAATAAAACAATGTTTTTTTTAGCGATGAAAGTTACACAAAATACCGTACAAAAACTCCAGTAGAATCACTAGAAAAATGTGAAAAACTATATCCAGATTGTGAAGACTTTAAGCAAAAATCTCATTTTTAACAACATAGCTACCTTATATTTGAGTTTATTTATTTATTTATGTATTTATTAAATAATGTAATATTTTATTTTATTTTCTTTAATTTACCAAATTATAAATATTATTCTTACCAGTGTACCAAGTAAGGGCGTCACATGCAACTGGGATGGCGTGCATATTGTGAATAGAGTATATTTTTTCGTTAGGTTTGCTTTCAATCAGGGTCTGACAAACCCAGTGACCGTAGCCTAGGCCGCCTTGTTGCTGCGTGTCAAGCTGCGTACTATGCCTAAACAAGTCCATTGCTTCTTGTCTTCCTAGGCGTTCAGCAATTAACGCCTAAAAATGCTGTAATAATTCAACTTTGTTGGATACACAAAAAGTCTTAATTTCGTTCTATCAAAATGAAAATAAGTTTATTAAAATTTTATAAAACTACCTGCAAACCACCCTGAGTTCATATGAGCTCATATGTTATTAAATAATTTTTCATGAATTTTACCGCACGTTCAGAGCTCTTAAGGCATTCAAGTGCCACCACATAATATTATTATGTGATCATATCCCAAGCAGAATTTTAAGTTAATGTTTACTGATAAGTTATTTTTACAGTAAACAAAAACGGTATTTTTTCTGCATAATAACTATTTAAGCGACCAAAAGAATAACGTAATAAAAACAAATTAAATATCACATATTTATGTAAAAATAACGTTAAAATTACCTCTTGTCGATTCTCTTGTTGTAAACCTTTAACATTTATATATTGTTTGTCTCTTTAATTTATAATTTAAAATGGTACCAGTAAAAAAGTTAAATTAATAAATATAACTTATATTGACAAAACTAGGTATATTTAGCATTGAAACTCAAACGCATTTTAAGATAATTCTCTTGTAAATAAAAATGTATTGTATAGCTGTAGCTATGATACACAAAAATTCTATGCCCTCTTAATATTCTACATATGTACAAAATAAATAAATCTAAAAAATCTGCATAATTATATGAAGCCTTAAAAACCATTTAATTTGAATAACGTCGTAATAATTGAAAGATTATAGATTTGTACTAAAATCAGTACTTTTTAAGGTCTGTCAGTACGTCAGTGCTACTTTTATAGTTTCAGTACGTTTTGCGAAATTTCCTCCCCAAACCAAAAAAAAGTTAAAAATATCATGATTCCTGCAAGGTAGTACACTGTACCGTTTTTTGACATGTGCTTAAAGACAAATTTTTTATACAAAATATAATCTCAATTAATTTTAAAACAACAGTTTAAAATCTAGCCGTTAAAGTAAAGTGTACTAACCACTTTAACAGCTAGATTGACTAAGCTGAAAAAAAATAAAAAAAGCGATCACAGTGCAAGTTGACAAATACCTAGTTATTTGAGCATACACCTTAGACAGGCAGTGACTTTTAAATTACTTGACTGCCAAAGGGTCAAGTTTGTCAAGTACGTGTACTAACATTAAATAGGTACCTACAATTGTAGGGTTTAAACAATATAATCAAAATATTAAGAAAATCTTTTTTCGAAAACAGTACTTTTTCATTTAAATCAGTACGTTTTTTCATTCCAATCAGTACAGAATTTTTTCGTGGTCTGGCAACGCTGCAAGGCCTTATCTCGTTTCGTATTGGGTATTATATTAGGGTAAAGATCGTGCAATTAAGGTAATTTTACTTATACGGTTTATGCCGATTTGGAATTCAGGTGCAATGACGCCGTTTGGGAGGTGCGATGAAGTTGGCACTTGCAGGCCCGTTCCTGGGGTGTCTGGCGCCTGCGTGCAGCATTCGTTGGTGCGCCCCTTTTATATTTAAATATAATACATTAAATATTTGAATTTAAAGCAGTAAAATTTAAAAAATATATATTTTGCGACAAACTGGCAATATGTATTACATATTACATATTATGTAATGAGTGTAATTGAAAATGTAAAAAAACCCTATAAAAAATATATATTAAATTACCAAACAAACAAGTAATATCATAAGGGCATCTATTTTTTCAAAAAAAATCGAAAAAACACGTTGCTAAGTAATAATAATATTAGTAATAATAATAATAATAATAGTAATAATAATATTATAACAAGAAGCATGAGTGCTGGTGGCAACAAAAATCCGAGTCGAAGACGAGGATTTTTGCACCTGCACGAATGCATTTTGTTAAAAAATATTACTTAGCATTGTGTTTTAACGATTTTTTTCATAGGAAAAGTTAGATGCCCAAATGGTATTTGACAAGACTATTTCATGAGTAACAGTTAACAATTAAAATATAAATTGTAATTTTTGGTGACAACAGCTGTCAAGTTTTGCCGCGGGTAAACCCGAAAAAACTGCTGACAGGTGCTGTCATACAGTTTTTCCACCTAGAAACCATTTGTAGTTCAAAATTGCGCGTTTGTGATTGGTGGAAATTAAGACGAGGGAAATAGTCGTAAGTAATATCATAAGGGCATTTAATTTTTCCGAAAAGAATCGAAAAAGCACGTTGCTAAGTAATATTTTAACAAAAAGCATGAGTGCTGGTGGCAACAAAAATCCGAGTCGAAGAGGAGGATTTTTGCACCAGCACGAATGCATTTTGTTAAAAAATATTACTTAGCATTGTGTTTTTTCGATTTTTTTCAGAGGAAAAATTATATGCCCGAATGGTATTTGACAAGACTATTTCATGAGTAACAGTTAACAATTAAAATATAAATTGCAATTTTTGGTGACAACAGCTGTCAAGTTTTGCCGCGGGTAAACTCGAATAAACTGCTGACAGGTGCTGTCATACAGTTTTTCCACCTAGAAACCATTTGTAGTTCAAAATTGCGCGTTTGTGATTGGTGGAAATTAAGACGAGGGAAATAGTCAGTAATAAAAATACTCTAAAGAAAAAAAAACAATCTAAACAATATAATAACTACAACTGGTTTTTAGTGACGTACTCTCTAAAAATGACTGGTTTTCAAAGTAAAAAAGCAGTCACTAATAACTTTATTCCACAGCTACTTCAAGTAGCCTACTTGTATCCCGGGCATTTAACAGCTTATTATTATGTCCCCTGAATCCGAAAATACCGTCAAAAATTATAAAAGTAAAGCAGTTTTTAAGATATAGTCAATACCATATTATATGGAAAATTTACTAAATCTCAAAAATGTTCTACTTTTATAAATTTTGACGAAATTTTCGGATTCAGCGGACAATTTTACATAGGAGTTGACTGCTAAATATCCGGGATACAAATTACTATTGGCAATAATTATTAGTCTCTGCTTTTTCGCTATTGCAATTAGACTAATTGAATTAGTCATTTTTGAATAATTTCATTTTAGAGAGTTACTACTGTTAAACTTTGCTACCGTCAACTGCATACTAAAGATAATATGACCATTTCCCTCCTTTTATTTTGATCCTCATATCAAAACAAAATAATCAGCCAATATCAAAGCGGCAAAAGGCGCTTTATAGCGACCGAAAAAAGGCAGAAACCTTTATCCAATGTATGTTTAAGTATCATATGCAAGAAAGTTTATCGTTACAAAGTACTGATTGACTCTTTGATTTTGTGCCCTCGAAATGTTGCGCCTGCGTGCGTGCACGCACTGCACGCTCGCCAGGAACGGGCCTGGGCACTTGCCATTGACTGACCACTGTTGACATAGGGTTGATAATCCAGAAAAGATTAATCGCTGTAAGTTACAGCCTGTAACCCTTTACTACACTTACATACATTTTCACAGGTATAGCACCTGATGCTTAATCCAGGTGAGCATGCCACTAGCACTATTAACAACCTTTTTTTCAATTCTGTTAGACCACAAGTATATTGCTATGTTTGATTTTAACCGATGTCACTATTGGGAAGTACGGGCGAGCTTATACGTGCCTAGACACACGACCACTTTCCTTGAAGTATAGAGCAACATTTTATTGCTCCTAAAATCTATATGACATCAACAGGAGTTTTTTGGTTAGCTTTAGCTATATATATCTAGAGTATAGGTACTCTAAGGGCCGCTTTATTAATGTCCAGTTAAAGTTGCAGAAGAGTTATCTAGTAGATAATTTCCATGGATACCATTGTTCTCACAACGATCGATATCAGTGATTCATAAAACTACCCTAAGTATACTATAGTTGAAAATAAACATATTCATCAATGAGTTCATCTTGTTGTATGTCTTGGTATTATTATAATGCTATAATAGCAAAGCTTTCCAATGTTAAATTTGCATTTAAAGATGATGTGGGCAAGGTCGCTACTTGTATATACAAAATAATTTTTTAACGTTCCGGTAAGATTCGTTTATTGGGCTGATGGGCTGTGATGCTGTCTTCAACAAAATACTGTGCTCTTCACCATTTTCATTTGACAAAATGCTTTTTGTTTTTTTTACCCAAATGACCTTTGCATTGACCTAATACATATAGTTTGACCCTTCCAAATTGTCAATTATTTCCATGATTTTCGGACAGAGCCCATATACGAATGTCAGTTGAACTTGTATTTTACAAGATTTTTATTTTTAAAACATTTATTTACGTAACTGGTGATTTATATTTATTAAGAAAAACAATAATATGCCATAGATATTTATGCTGTGGGGTACAGAACTAGTTGTTTAATTTTTACTTTAAAACATTGGCGTCCTGAAGTATGACATTCCTTTTTGAAAGGTTAGTAAACTCAGTCGGCCAAAATGTTTTTAAAAGTTTTAAGACAACAATGTTCTATCGTCTCCTAGCAATGTTTAAAGCTCCTAGGTTTAACCTAGGCGAAAGCTCTCGGTATTGGCTGTGGCTTTTTTGCTCTCATTCAATTAAACTATTACCTAGAATTTTTTTTATTTCTAAATTTGGCATCTCCTTTTTCTTTGTGGCGCGAGTTCTGGGACGCCCTGTATAAAAAAGTTATTTGACGAGATTTCGCAGAAAAGTATTAAAAATAGAAAATTTCGTAAAAACAAAAATTAATTATCCCCACATATAAGTATTTTATGTTTCATTAAAATACTTGTTGTGAAACATTATAGTTAAGTATTAAAAAAAGTAAAAAAAAATCATAATAAGAACTTATTACTTAACAAGACTTTTTTACATTAATGGCAGTTTTTAAGGTTAATTTAACAACATATTTACTTAAATTAAGTAATAAATCCGCAAAGCTCGACTATTTTACTTAAAATGCTTCTTGGGATGAGCGCAGAGTATGAGATCTGAAATCAGAAGCTTAATTGCGCATGCGTAGAATGTGCTCCATGAGCTCAGGTGATATACAAATTCATAAGTAAAAGTCTTAAAATTTCATTATTGAACATTTCGCATATTTTTTGTGTGGTCAAAGAAAAAAGGTACTTGTAAAAAGTACTTACTTGTCCAATCCAACTGTTAACATAATTAGGATCGCTTCTCTGGCCTTCGGCGAAACATTTGTTTGCCAACTTAACATCGTCCTTTAAAAAATACAAAATTCCTAAATTACACCAAGAAATTGCGGCATTATGGTCCGCCTCTACGGCTTTAATAAAAGCATGCTGCGCAAGCGCAAATTTAGGTTGTTCTAAAAACAAAAAATCGTTAAAAACAGTTTAATAAAAATTGTACCAAATCGTACCAAATTTCATTGCGATATTTCCTAGAAGGTTCCAATATTGCCACGAGGTGGCGTCCTGTGATATGCAGCATTCCGCTTTAGATTTCGCATGTAATAAAAGTTCTTGTTGTTCTTTTTTACTAACGCTTTGCGAGTAATTTAAATAACAAACCGCCAAGTCGTACACAGTGGGTACAATATGACTTTTACTTGAATCAATATCAGTAGGTAAAGCAATAGCCATGCGATAACATCTAAAATATATCTATGAAAAAGTTCTTAAAACATATATCAAATGGATTACTAATTCAAATTTTAATTATTTGTTTTGTTTTTACCTTAAGGCAAACTTGAATAACTCGGTAGTTTCTAAAAACACATTCCCTTCAGATTTGCCTTCTTCATAGATAAATTTAGATATAGATAAAATACTATGTTTTTCCGGTAGTTTTGCAACAAATTGGCAACTTTCAGCCAATAACTTCCATAAACTAACTAGTCCATAATTTTTTTTAATTGCTCTAAAAAGAAATATTCTATACAGTTGTTTTGAAAATGGTACACTAACGCCATGAGCAAGGGAGGTTATTTTAAGTAGTTTTTGAGTTATAATATAAGGTTTTTAAAATTAAATGTATGACAGTTTAAAAGTAAATGGTATAAATGTATAACACAATAGGATACAAAGTTTTAATATAAACATACTTTAAATTAGTAAAGAAAGTACAATTAAAAACAAAAATTTAGATTTTTAATAATTTTTCTTACTGTGTAATTTTTTCTGAAGCATACTGCGCATGACTCCTGGCAGTACCTAACCTCTGTTCTTTTAAACAATGTCTAGCTTGACACATGCAAGTTTCAGCCAGACCTTTTAAAGCCAGAACGTCATTTTGATTAACTTTAAGAATTTCACTGAATTCTTCCCTGGCCTCGGCATACTCTCCAAGAATCTAAAAAAAAAGAATAAATATATTCCGTGGGGGATTTTATTTTTTAAACTTACTTGTTTTATGGTGGCAATCTGTAAACTAGGATAAAAGGTATCCTCTGATAGCTCAGAAGCTTTTTGGTAACATTTTAATGCAGATGTATAAGAACCTCTAGCAAAATAGGAATCTGCTAATGCTTCCCAGCAATGTCTAAAAAAAGAACTAATAATCTTATAGAACATAACACGTGAACTGCTAGTTCTAGCATACAATATTATGGACCCAATCATTTGGCTAAACAACAAAATACAGATTCAGTATACAAGGTATTTCAATAAAGGGTTGAACATACGTTACAGTAGTCCTACTGAATTTTTTATATAAAATTTGGGTGATTATTTTAAGACACAAATATGTAGAAGAGTGGGTTCAAAATTAAAACCTTTTAGTGAAGTATGAACTTCTTGTACCGCCTTCATTACTTTTTATTAGCAATCAATCAGTTCATTCGCATTAAAATTATGCCGTTACGGCGACTAGAAGCAGTTTAACTTGAGCAATTAGTGCGTTGGATACGCGAAGGTTTTCCTCAAGAATAAGTCGCTGCAAGGTTGAATTTGTCCCAAAGTGTCGTAAGTCGAGCATGGAGTCGGTATTTAGCAACTGGGTCTCCAGCATACACATATGGGGGAGGACGTGAACCATCCACAACTTATGCTCAGGACCGTTTAATTGTCCTGACTGCCCGAAGAAACCGAACATTCACAGCTTCAAGAATTAACAGTTTCTTCAGGCAAGCTACTGGAAGAGTGATTTCTTCTCAAAACGGTCAGAAAAAGGTTGCATGCATCTAACTTAATAGCAAGAAGACGACCTACACATCCTCGGTTAACACCGGGGCAACGTGCTTTCAGATATCGTTGCGCGACAGAACACCAAAATTGGAATTTTCAAAATTGGAGGTATTGTCTTTTTTCTGACGAGTCAAGATTCCGTTTGTATACGTGTGATGGTCGAATATTGGTATGGAGGGAAAGAGGAGAGCTATACAACGAAAATTGTATGGCGCAAACCACTCCTTCGTGGCGGATCGACAATAATGCCAGCCCTCATCGTGCACGGCTAGCGCTTGTAAACGATCGGATAGGATATCATGGGATTACGAGAATGGAATGGCCAGCATGTTCACCAGACATAAAATGCATTGCCCTGGCAATTCAATCGGCTTCAACAAAGTGGCAAAACATACCTCGAGACTTTATTAATAATTTAATCATGTGTCTTCCAAACAGGGTAACAGCATTAAGGCGAGTCAGGGGTCCTATAGGATATACACGATATTTTATACAGCAGGTGCGAATAAAAGCAGTAAAAAAACTTTCGTTTTGTTACTTTTCTTATATTTGTATGTTTTCTTGTACTTAAAATTATTTATTTTAAATTTTTCTAAAATCTACTTCAATTGTTGAGCAGTGTATATTATTTAGGTGACTGTTTTAACACCTTTCGTGAGCAGCCAGACCAATCCAAAGGGCCTAACCAACATTGGTTGTATCATGTCCATGATACAACCAACATTGGTTGTATCATGATCTCACCTACTGCCGCGGCAGCACAGGTAAAAGAGCGCTTTGAATGCCCCGCTTTAAATGGCGAATAACTTTTTTAATACCGATACCTTTTAACCTGTAGATCTTACCTTTTATCGAGTCTGAGGGGGTTAGGCCCTTTGAATTGGTCCAGCTGCATATAAAAGGTCTTAAAATAGTCACTCATTGTTTCTCAAGCTATAAACGTTAGGCTCTTTTAATTGGTCTGGCTGTTTTAAAAAGATCTTAAATATATAAAATTCAGGAGTAAAACCGTTCTTAATTAACGGTACTACTATAACGTAGGTTCCCGCAAGAGGTCTTAAAATAACTTAATAATACATTTATATAAAAAAATCAGCAGTAGTACTATAACGTAGGTTCACCCTTTTTTCTCGAGCTTTAAAACGTCTGGTGGAAGTTAGGCCCCCTAAAAAGCGTCCGGCAATAATGAATGTTGGTTTGTAATAATATTGTATAAAACATTTATAAAAACCAGCGGTATCACTATTACTACTATTTTTATGTACATTTAGTGCCCGTTATCTGTAAAAATCCACTTCAATTGTTGAGCAGTGTATATTATTTGGGTGACTGTTTTAACACCTTTCGTAAGCAGCCAGACCAATCCAAAGGGCCTAACCCCCCCCCCCTAAAAGGACTTTAAAGCTAGCAAGTACGCATACGTTTTTAAGTAGTACTAAAAACAAATATTTATTTATTAATAATCCAACTTTAATTCATAATCCCATACAACTGTGGAATCCAAATCAATCAATCTCAATTTTTGAATAAAAAAGAAATTCTAGATGTCACACCCATTATCTTACCAGAAATATAAAACTGGGAGTCAAGCCAAAACTTAGAGGACAATCCGATTAATCTACATTCTATTGACCTTAAAGAAATACAAAATCTACAAAAGGAAGCCAAATTCATCAATTTATTAAGGAAAACCGAAGTTCATCCCATAATATGGAGTTTATCCAATACATTTATTACCTTTATAATAATTTCAATTGTATTATGTACAATTATAAAATATGGATTAAGAAAAATTGCAAACAAGAAAAAGGAAAATTCCAGCGAAACCAATCCACCCGTGTTGCTTTCATCTTAAGGATGGAGGAGTTATGTGCACGTATTTGATGACCATGTACAAGGTGTACGAAGATAATATTTAATTTCTTTGAATTAACTCTTATCTTTAATGTTCATGATTATTACATTTTTAGTTTAGTTTATTCATTCTGTCATTGTTTTTAAAAACCAATATATCAAATTAATTACTTTAATTTAAATGTATCAATGTAATGGGACCACTTTTTGACAATATTTTTAAGCAATAAAAAATGCGAAAAGATACTAAATTAAAGTATTCAAAATAATAGAAAACTATTATATGCAAACTATTATATGCAAACACTCTTTCTAAATTTTAAAAAGCTATATATAATTTGAAACAAAAAAATATAGTAAATGTAAAATTCATTTCACATTTCGTCATACAAACAATTCATTTATATCCTCAAACACAAAGATATCACAGTTTAAATTTGGGAAAAATATATTAAATTAACAACATTCATTAAAGCGCATGACTCTCGCCGACTACATCAACCATAGTTAGTCATAAAAAACATTTTAAGTGTGGCATATGTGAATGCAATTCGGACAACCAGTCCAAGAAAAACCCATTCAATAAAAACATTAAATTTCATCGATTCCCGAAAAAGTTTGATTTGTGGAAACAGTGTTCACATGCCACAAAAATAATAGACAATATTAACGTTAAGACCGCTTCTGTTTCCTATAAACATTTTCTGGACAGTGACTACCTATAAGTTTAATTTAAAACACCAACGCAAAACTACAGCCCTAAATGTTATAAGGACTGAAAGCATCTATTATGCATATTATAACACTTTCTTCAATATTAAGTTTAATAAAAACGCACTATGTCTAGATATTTCTCTATTTTCTTTTATAATATTACTATTATTCGTGTATTCTCACGGCAACTACTCATCAAGTGACGTCATGCGCGGGACGAACCAAAACTCGTACACGGGAGCATCCAGCCCTGGCGCTTTTCAAAATCTCAGTCAAATCTGATTTTATATAACTTGACATTTACAAATTTTTTTTTAATTTAATTTTTTTTACTTACGGATTTTCTTGTTCCACCCTGACAACAAATCTTAACCTATCAATGGCTTTTTCATATTCATTTTGCTCCAAATAACTTAAACCTAACTGGAACCAAGCCCAAGAATTGTTTTTGTTGATTGAGGTTTGGGTGAGACTTTCCAATAAATGTTTGCTTGCTTCCTGCAAACATGACATAAATAAACCAAAATTATTTATAAAGATTAATAATCTATTACCCAATTTTTCAATTCCATATACACTTTGCTTAATTGTATACCAGCCTCTGAAGACTTGCTGTTAAGTTTAAAAGCTTTTTCATAACACCTTCTACTTTTATCAAAGTCTTTAATGCTTTGGTAATAATTACCTAAATGTAGGAAACATAAGTAATTATTTGGACTACATTTGGCAGCCTAAAAATATAACAAGTATTATAATTAAATTATTTAAAAAATAAACTGTCCTGTGGGCAAAAATTGTTTTAAATTAGATACAAAACATATCGTACTTTTAAGAACGGCATTAACGAAGCAGTTTTATCGCTGTTATTTTCAAAATGTATTTGACCAAGTTGTAACCAATATTCAGAATCTTCAAATGTTTTTTGTTCCAAAAATTCTATACATTCCTGATATTTGCTTTGTTTATATAAAAAATATGCATACAGTAGAGTATATTTCAATAAATTCTCATTCGTTTTTAATTCTTGTAAATCAGATTGAACTTCTGAATATTTTCCCATGTTGATTTTGGCCCTTATTTGTAAAAGTTTGCATTTTTTTTTTACTTCGTTATTATCAATCTAAAAAATATTTAAATGAATGAATTAAATATGTAATAAAATTTAATGGTTCTTACTTTTTCATATAAACTTAAAGCCTTTTCCCAATCTTCCATATTCTGTGATCTTGACAAAATATTTAAGGACATAACATCCAACTGATTTTTCAATATTTTATTGGAAAAATTAATTGATTGTAAAAGTTTTTCCGATCTTGTTAAAGTATGAAAGGCTACTTCAAACAAATTTAACTCTATGTAAAGTTTTGTTAATAAAAACCATGCATGGATTAATCCAGGCCTTAAAGTTGTCACTTAAAATAAAATCATTATGGAATTGATACTTTTTATTATACTTAAGTAGTTACTTCTTTAAAAAATAATAAAATATTTACCCTTTTCTAGTATTTCTACTGCTTCAATTGTATTATCATCCTCAATAAATTCTATACTTTTAGTAAACAAACCCATAGTGTTTTCGGGCTCAATTTTTAGCAACTTTGAGCAATATTCAAAGGCTTTACTTTTGTAATTTTCGTAAATTTGATCTTCTTCCACATACCACCTGTTAAAAACCTTACAAATCCAAACTAAGGAAATCGTGTTCGAACTAAAAATACTGTACATTTTTGCGGCGTTTTCAAATAATTCTGAACTTTTGTCTTTTTTGTTTAAAACTGCCAAATAAGCTGAGTATATTTCTGATGTTGCGAATTTTCTGTTATTAAGTAGCAAATTCAAACTTTTTTCATACTGAAATATAAAAAATCTATATTAATTTTTATTTTATACATCTCATATGAAATATCTTAGACATAAATTTAAAAAAAACTTACTATATCTGTTAATTCCTCATTTAGTTCTTTGGAAGTTTCCAAAATTTTCACCAAAATTTCCAAAACGCCGAAAACTAAATTTTCTGAAGGATTTTCTTTTCCCGCAACTGAAAACATTGTTTTTGCTATATTTTCTAAATCTCCATGCTCTAATAAACTTAAGATTTTTTCACAATATTCTACAATTTTTTTATCAACCCTAAAAAATAATATTTTAAGAAATAAACACCAACAAAATTGTCTTATATCTCACGTTTCTATTTTTAACATTGTCAAATATGCTTCTAAAAGATCTTTTTTGCAGTTCTCAGCGGTATTTTTTTCGTAATAATTTATAAGTCCATTCCACGCCAGGGGGTTGTCAGAACATTCTTGTATAGCCTTTTTAAAAGCTTTTGGGGCTTGGTCTTTGGGGCCCACTTCTTGTAGGGACAGCCCCAAAAAAACCAACGCCATGTAGTTCGATTTATCGGCTTTTAAAATAGTCTAAAAAAAACAACTCTTCAAAAATAAAAATATTTGGACATGGTACTTGAACACCCTATATATTTTCTTTTATGAATCATAATGTGAAAAAATAAAAAGTAAAACCGTCTAAATAAAGAATTTAGTAAAGGAAATATAGGGTTACGGGTTTTTATCGGACGTATGCTTAAAAAGGTATAACGCAAGTATAATCTCCGCTTTCGACCAATAGTCGCACACAGTAGTTTATTTAACTACCACAAGAATAGTATATTGTGCGACTAGTGAAAAAAAGAGAAGTGATGTAACAGGCGAGTGGAATCTCCTCTTTTAAACAATAGTCGCACACAATATTTTATTCAACAACTACAATGAATTTTTTCGCAGTAACACGCGAGTGGAATCTTCTCTTTTAACCCATAGTCCCACACAATATTTTATTCAACTACCACAAGAAATTTAAAGCCAATTTTATTTGATATTTTATCTGACATTTGACATCTGTGAGAAAGTTTCCACTTCAGTTTTTTCGAATTATAATTTAAAGCTTAAGCCCGGGGGCGAAGTAGCATTTTACCCACAAGTTTAATTTAAGAAATAAAATGGGTGTTGAATAATAGTATATTGTGCGACTAGTGGGGGAAAAGGAGATCCCTCGAGCGTGGAGATTGACGCACGAGCGCAGCGAGTGATGTAACAGGCGAGTGAAATCTCCTCTTTTGACCAAGACAAGGTTGCCACCGATTTGTCTAAACCAAATTCCCTGACTTTTCCAGGAATTCCCTGACCTTCCCTGATTTTTTTCCAGACAAAATGTGTCGACCCTAGCAGTTTTCTTTTTGGTTTCCTGACCCTCAATTATTTTTTCAACTGGACTTTGAGTGTTGGGTTTTAAAATTTTAAGTATGGGGCCATTCAAGTATTACCATTATAGTATTATTATAGTATTATCATTAAAAATATACAAAAAAAAAGAAGCAATCAAGCAAAGACTTCCCCCTTATATAATACTTGAATTTATTTTTCTCTTGGTGGGGAATTATAACGATTAATTAAAAAACTAAACTTTCATTGCATTAACAAAAAATCAATACTTCTTATTAAAAAATAAATACTTCTTATTAAAAAAAAACAAATTTTTTCGGGATAATTTAAAAGCCTATGAAATTTTGTCTGCGGCAGGTCTTGTTTATCAAGTTGATGAGTTCTTATCAGTAAATATTTAATGGTACAAAAAAAAAAGATTTAATTTCTATCGTTTTTTGCAGGAGTTGTTATTTGTTCTGGTTATTTTCTAAAGCAATTATTAATACTATTATCCTGTAAAACTGTAACTTTTTCAAGCATACTCTCTAAAAAAGTATTATGTAAAATAAAATATGTAATTTTTGACTAATTCACTGCAGTCACTAATAACTGTAGTCCAGAGCAATTTGTATCCCGGATATTTAACAGCCAATTCTCATGTAAAATTGTCCCCTGAATCCGAAAAGACCGTCATAGCCGTTTTTGAGATATAGTCAATTCCATATTATATGAAAAATTTACTAAATCTTAAAAACTGTCCTACTTTTATAACTTTTGACGACATATTCGGATTCAGCAGACAATTTTACATAGGAATTGACTGCTAAATATCCGGGATACAAATTGCTGTTGACTGGAATTATTAGTGGCTGCTTTTTCGCTATGACAATTAGTCATTTTTAACTAATTCATTTTTAGAGAGTAGTATTTTCCATCTGGTTCTTTTTTTTAACAAAATTTGACAAATTTGTTTTCTTTGTTGCCGAAATCCTTTTTTAATGGCTCGCACTTTTTATGTGGCCTATGACTGCTTGCAAATCAAACATTTGGCTTGAAACGGTTTTTATCAACAGGAACTATGATTTTTCAAAGTCTTTTACTGATTAATTAATTATTTTATTAATTTATTAATCATGCTTTTACTGAATAATTAATTAGTTTATTAATTATGCTTACCATTTACAAAATAAACATATATGATCACCCTAAACATAAAAATAGTTGGTTATAGTCTTAAAAGGTTATAGTGTTAAGTGTTAAGAGTGATAAGTTTGACATATAGCGCCGCCATATTTTGAATAAATTAAATTTAAATTACACTCGTTAACATATTTTTATTTGAATGAAAATTTTGTTGACCAGTTTTATTTATAAATAACCAATTCGCTGACCGACTTAGGAATTCCCTGACTTTGTAGATTTTTTTGCCAATTCCATGACATTTCTAAAAAAAAATTCCCTGACATTTCCAGGTTTTCTAGATGAGTGGCAACCCTGCAAGAGTCGCACACAATATTTTATTTAACAACTGCAATTAATTTTATTTGTTATTTTATCTGAGATCTGACAGCTGTCAATTAGTTATAACCTCACTTTTTTCAAAATTAACATAAAGCTAACTTCAACCCGTGGTCGAAATGTTATTTCGCCCACTAGTGGGAGAAGTATAATGTCGTCCACCGGTTAAGTTAGGAATTGAAATGGGCGTTGAATAAATTTATTATATAAGTATAGTATTATTTTTCCTTGACTTTATCAATCCATTAATTAATTAAATATTTTACAATTTTATTTTTATTCAATTTAAACAACTTAAATCCAAAATATTAAAAATTGACGGTTGCTATAAACATTTATTGAGCCAAAAAATTTTAACCACCATTTGTGCATGCTGCAAGTAAACAACCTTGGTAAAATTAACTTCAACTAATATACGCAATAAATCTGTATTTAAACCACGTTACGGTTTAGATAAAAAATTTCTCAATATGAATAAATTCGCAAAATATGTTGTGTTTATACAATTTGTATGGATTTTTGGCTGTAATGGACAATGTTATTATAAAAGTGTAGACGACAGTGTAACATGTGATGTTACTGACCTTACTGACATTAATTCAATAGAAGAAAAGGTAAACAAATAAATTTATTAACCTTGGACATTGTCCAATGGACAATTAAAGTGGGCTAAAAAATGGCGTCGCTTCAAGGTGTTACAATACCAAATTTGTTTTAAGTCTTGGCTCTAATATAGGCTCTAGAAATATTTTACCCTTTTAACACCCTGTATAGGTGGAGTGTCTCCGAAATTCTATCCAAAAATTTTGCTACAGCGCAAAACAAGAACATGGAATCAAAAATGCTTAATAAGGGAGCTTTAAAGATTGCACTCAACATTTACATTTTATTTTTTATATACATTTTGGCACACACTCTACACTTAACAACTGCAACTTTTCTGTTGTAGATCCGATGACATATTTGCAGAAGAATCCAAACAGAGGGGTTGCCTCCTAGTTTATTGTTTGAGTTATGTGATTGGATATTTTATTTAAAAGGTCTAACTAAATAAAACCAACTGTTATTTAAGAAAATCGCTTTGGTTCTACGTTATGAAGTTGAGTGCCATCTTCAAAGCGGCGTAGCTCCCTTATAAAGCATTTTTGACCATATATTCTTAGAAACTTTTTTATAGTTTGCGCTGTAGAAGCACCCCATATCGATGACTTTCTGTCAAAGTATCGCAAGCAACATAACTCAAATTTCGGGAATTGAAAACATTTTTTGTTTTAAAGTCTGTTTTAAACCATATATAACCTATAGGTTTTATAACAAGTAAATAGCTATAATTATAAGCTAAGTAATTACTTATTATAAAACCTTTAGGCTATATTTAATTTAAAACAGACAAGCAAAATGTTTTCAATTCCCGAAATTTGGGTTATGTTGCTTGCGATACTTTGGCAAACAGTCATATTTGGATGGAATTCGGAGACATCCCGTATATTAGTTATTATTTTCTGTATTTTTTTCTGGGCAATAAATTATTTATTATCATTATATAACCTTGTAAAAACATAAACTGAAAATTTACGGGTTTTTTTAAACACACCATTGGGAGAGCTTTATCAAATAACATGGATTTTAAGATACGTTTCTTTAAAAAAATCTAAATTAAATCATAATTAATTTGTCATGTGATGCGGAAAGGGAAAAGGGACTTCTTGTCGGAAAAAAACAAATATAAGTTTTTTTAAAACTACACTGAAATTTGAGACATTTTGAGATCAAATTCGTTTATTCATTCTCCTTTCTTAAAAATTGGCCAAGTTACGACGAAAAGCGCTTTCAGGCAAGTAGATGAGGTATTATACAAAAAATTCCAAAAATCTAATTCCTACCCTGATCCACAATCCACACAAAAAGGTCTGCTCTATCTTGTTTCGCGCATACTAAAAATCACTGCAACACTGCACAGAATCTAACGGCGTACAGACCGGTATTTTGACCTAAAACGTGGTCAAAAATATTTGGTCACTTTTTCTTTATCAAAAGGGTAGCAAATGACTAAAAAACATATTTTTAAAAGTATACAAGTGATATTAGGTAGGTACTTTTACTAGAAATTAAAAAAAAATATATGTATTCATGTAGCTACAAGTAACTACTTACATGCAAGTAATGCAATAAAAATATTAAAATTAAACATATATATTAAAGTTTTTGTGCCCTTTAAAAAATAAAAAATACATCCATTTCCCTAAAAATCTTATAAGATTGCACTAAAGTATCTGTTTTAAAAAAACGAGAAAAATTAAGCATTTTTAGGTAGATAAGTGTAGTACACGATATGAATAAATAAAGATTATGAAATGTTGCTTAAAATATTGTACATACCTTAATTGACGACATCCATATTAATTTCTTTCAACAAAATCTCTTTTAACATAGGAAGCAACCCGGCGAAAATTTGTTTTTTTGTGGAGTGTCGCGAACGAAGACGTACGATGTAATAGAGTGTTAGCTTCTAGCTGCTGGTACAGCGGACTGGGACGGCCAATTCAAGTTGCAACTACACCAAAAGATAGCCATGTTATCTGACTTCTTTGAGACAAAATCTTAGATCTGGCAATAAAAATTAACAAAATTGATTTTTGACCACGTTTTAGGTCCAAATACCGGTCTGTGCGGCGGTCATTTTTATTATGTTTACAGTTCTTGTGCTTTGGTTTTGTGCTATTTATACAGATTAAAAGTCGTCTTAAACGTTGTGTTTCTTACAGAGGCATGAAAATCCTAGATTAATAACCGCCGCACATACAGGTATTTCTAAGATCTGGGCGGCCAAAATGCCTGTTATCAAAGTTTGAATGACATCGTTAAAACAGACAACCTGCGTTGGACGACACTTCTGAGAACCGTATCCAACCGCTTACTCCCTTTTCCCGCGCACCCCACGTACGTATGATTAGTCTGAATTTAAATGTGTAACCTAGTGTACATATCAACTTTTGGCGTGCTTATAAGACAACCTGTTTTTTATGTGAATATTTGCACCGCAAGTTAATCTAACAAGTTAAAAGTGATGGATCGTAATACACCAGGTAATAAACTTACAAATTATCATATAATAAATATAAATAACTTATTTAAATAGAAATTTTTAATTATTGAAAGTGAACTCTTTTTCTTAGTCTAGTTTTAATGATTTTTTTCTTTTACGAAGGTATTTGTTATGGTATCAAGCTAGATCAAGCTATGATTTAAATTTTTATGTAATATTTATCCTTTCTTTTAATAAATAACACCAAAAGATTGCCCGGAAAATTCCGGATAACTTGTTTTTTTGATACTTCAAAGATTTTGGACAAAAAAATCGAAAAAATAAATAATATTATTTTTAATATAAATAATATATTTTTTTTTACATTTTTCAAAGTGTATGTTTGTCTTTGGTGTACCAGGTGTTTCGGAAGTAAGGATAGTAACTCGAAAACACTTGTTTGATGGCATGGAGAGTGCGGATGTGTCTTATATTGATGCTAAACTAAACTGTCTAAAGGATCAACTATTCTCATGTGAAGGTACGTTAACGTATATGTTAACCTGTACCCATGGCATTCTATGACTCCACCATTGCTCAAGATATTAGTTCATGGGGCAGTAATATATTGAAAAAGCATTGTTACCTATTGGTCAGCTTTCATAGGAGGCAGCTGAAGCTCGTAATAAGCATTTCAGGAGATATCGACAAAACTTTGCAAGAACATTTTTTCGAGAAAACTGCAATAGGGACAAATTAAATCGCCTTTTAATTAGTTCAGATCCTATGTTGAAAAGCATGAGAACAATATAGAAAAGAAAAGCTAACACGTTCTTGCCAGAAGCAATATCAATGTTCATATCTGAAGATCCATACACGAGCGATAATTCATCAGATAACGATGACGGAATTAACTAAGTTAATTACAAAAATGCTGAATGCTTATTACGTTGGGTTAATTGTACTATGTGGTGTGTGTAGGAAAATGTAAAGTGTAATAATTACACTTATTACAATTACAATTATTGTAAGAATCTGACTAAGCATATTTTTCTTAATACGCCATTGTGCCGTTTAGTAAAAGTATTGTAAATTAGTATTTTTTTTTGTTAAAAACAAGTTAATTCATCTATTGGCATGGTTAAGATACCATTTAAGCATACAAATAATTTTGGCCGCCCAGATCGTGCAAATACCTGTATGTGCGCCGTTAGATTCTGTGCAGTATTGCAGAGATTTTTAGTATGCGCGAAACGAGATAGAACAGACCTTGTTGTGTGGATCGATGGGGTTATGGTAAATTATCTTAAAAATTTTAATTTGACAATTTGATGACAGCCCTGATAGAATAAGAGTTATTTTTACCAAAAGAGGAGTAAAATGGTTGTTCTTAGCACTTTAAGGCCTCATTTGAGGCTTACAAGTGCCTCTGTAAGAAACACAACGTTTAGAACGATTATTAATCTGTATAAACAGCACAAACCCAAAGCACAAGAATTGTAAACAACATGAAAATCCTAGATTAATAACCGCCGTTAGATTCTGTGCAGTGCTGCAGTGATTTTTAGTATGCGCGAAACGAGATAGAACAGACCTTGTGTGGATCGATGTTTTTGCTAAACGACAAGAGGTCCCTTCTCCCTTTCGGCCTTACATATAATGTTTAATAAAGTACACTATACAGATTGTCTCAAAATGTCACAATAACACCAAGTTGTTTTGGGTATATAGTCGCGGCCAAATCTGCATGGGTGCACATCATCAATGCGGTGTAATGACGTTAATAGCATTACCAAATTTAAACTGTACTGCCGTTAAAATTGCTTTTAAAAAAATAGTCATGTGCGTATTGTTTACCAAGAACTGTAATAATTTTCCTGTTTTTTTACGAAATTATGCAAAAAAAGGCCGCGACTATAACAAAAATACCAAAACATTTAATTATTTTTGAGGGTTTATAAATTTAATTGAATTTTCATAAAACAGTTTTCTATTTTTGTATAAAAAATAAAAACTTATAAGATGTAATAATAATGTAATGTAATTTTGTGACAAACAGTTATAAAATACATGAGTCAACAATGTAAACCTCAGCTGCCTTTGTTTTTTAGATAAATTAATAAAATATTAAAAACATTTTAAAACTACAATAAACACTTTTTCACAGGAAACTGCCCTCAAAATCCATGTAGAAAAAATGACAACACAAACCCTACCATCTGAAGCTTTTGAATACCCACTTTGCAACACTGTGAAAATATCCGGCAACGTTGAAAACCTCAATAAAAACACGTTTGGTAACCTGAAGGACCTGAAAGTTCTAGATTTAAAAGGCAACAAAATTGCTCATATCCCCAATGATTTTTTTCCACCTTTAAGAAAATTAACGGACTTGGATTTAAGTCACAATGATCTCCCCTCCCCTACTTTGGATACTTTTTATAAGATGGATATAATAAAAACTCTTAATTTGGGGTTCAATAAAATAAGAAGGCTTGTTTTAGGAGTGCTCGATGAGGCCCAACCACTGGAAGTTTTGTTGTTAAATAACAATCACATGAGTAATTTAGAACTGGGTATTTTTGATCAATTAATTAATTTACTGAAAGTAGATTTATCCTATAACAAAATTACAGTTATACCACTAGGCATTTTTGATAAATCCAAAAGTATTATAGATTTAAATTTAGTTGGAAATAACTTACATAATATACCATTGGGTTCATTTGACCTGTTGGTAAATTTACAAACACTGTGGCTTTCAAAAAATAATATGGAAAGTATAAAATTAGGCATTTTAGATGAACTAAGAAGCCTACAATATTTATATTTAAATAACAATCCAATTAAAGCCATACCTGAAGGTTTATTAGATGAATTACCAAATTTAAAGTTAGTTTCATTGTCAAATTGTTCTTTGAATAATTTACCAGAAAAATTATTCTACAAAAACCCAAACTTAAAAACCATAGATGTTTCTTTAAACAAAATACAAGTTTTTAACAACAAATTTGTTAATAACAAAAAATTTACAAACTTAAACATATCCCATAATCAATTAGTATTACTAAACCAAGAATTATTCCAAAACACAAACCTAAAAACCTTGGATATATCATACAATAACTTACAAGACTTAAATCCAAACTTAATAAGATTAAAAATACTTAAACTTTACATAAAAAATAATAAAATAGTTTACTTAGACCCAAAAGAATTTAAAAATTTAAACTCCCAACTAAAATATCTTAACATCAAAAACAACAAACTCAATTTTCTGGATGACGCAATTTTTAAAGAACTTAATGGTTTGGATCAAATAGAATTTACTGGAAATCCATGGATTTGTAAATGTTTGGAAAAAATGTTAATATTATTACAAGCACATCAAATAACTTATCAAAAAGATAAATATTTTAATGGGAAACAACCCATTTGTATTGCAAGCACTGATCAATGTACGAATACAGCGTTGAATGTTGATATTTATAGTACATTTTTTTAAATAAATAGAATAAAATAAGTAAAAACTAATGTTTATTTTGGGCTTTGATAGCTTTATTTGGGACTTGATAGCGTCAAAAACTTTGGGGCATCGTTTCCCAGACTGCAATGAAGGTTCGAAAATATTCCAGGAATATGCCCTATCATCTAGGAATAATCCGCTTCATTATAGGAATATTCATTGGGAATATTTCATAGAATTATCCTCTACAACTTTCAAGCAACATCTTGGAACATTCCCAGTGAATGTTCTTTATATTCAAAAAACAATAAATGCTGTATGGAATATGCTGTATTCCAAACTTGTTACAGAATATACTATTCTATTTCTACTAATTGGTTATATTCCAGGAATATGCGCTATCATCTAGGAATAATCCGCTTCATTCTAGGAATATTCATTGGGAATATTCCTTAGAATGGTCCTCTAAAACTTCCAAGCACCATCTAAGAACATTCCCAGTGAATATTCATTGGGAATATTTCATGGAATGATCCTCTACAACTTCCAAGCAACATATTGGAACATTCTCAGTGAACGTTCTTTATATTCAAAAAACAATAAATAATTTTCTTATTCTACAAATTGGTTAGATTTCAGGAATGTGCGCTATCATCTAGGAATAATCCGCTTCATTCTAGGAATATTCATTGGGAAAATTCCATAGAATGATCCTCTAAAACTTCTAAACACCATCTAAGAACATTCCCAGTGAATATTCATAAGTTTAGTTGCAATACCTTGCTTACGCACGCTTGATAACTATATTTACATATAGGTTAAAAATATCAGTTGGAGATGTACGTCTATGATGGCACAGCTAAACAATGATTAGAGTGGGACTTATCTACTCAGTAACTAATAATGGCTAGTTAAGTTAAGTTCCTGGGTATAAGTGGCCATAAGGGCTAGGAGTAATCCCCAAATTATATTAAGGTACATTCTCCTAACAATACGTAAGTCTTATGCATGCCGCTACATGGAATATTCTTTTTATGATGACTGGGTTAACCAAAAAGCGGACATTTGATTACGCCAGGAATATTCCTGGGAATATTCTGGTACGCTTGGAACAATCCAGGAAATATTTCTGAAATATGTAGGGAATGGGATTTTGCGGTCTGGGGTGGTGTCTTTAGACACTGAGAAGAGGTCAATAAAGCTAGTTAGAATGTAAGAAGTATTCTTTTTAAACATTTTTTTCGTAGTATATACAATATTGCTTTGGTTTAAATTAATATTAAAACTGTCCCCAATAAACATTTTTGTTTTTATAGTGGTGTCCATAAATGTTATATAATCAAAATTATAAAACCTAAATTTCTTAATTTGGTTACAGAAATATTTATATCACTCTTATTAATTTAAATGATTTAAGATTTTGTACTCAATACGACTTAAGTGCAAAGTAAATGTGTTGTAAATATGTACACAATACTTCGAAAAACGAACACCACTACAATAATATCCCCACCAATAAAGAAAAAAATAGGAAACATTCCACTCATGCATAATTAGTTCAAATGGCCGTAGTCCACCAATATCACCTATATTAACAATCCTATCAAAACCATCCTCCTCAAGAGTGGGCCACCCAAACACTCCAAGCTCTGATCAGCTGTCAGATCAAAAATATTAATAACTTTTATGAATTTAAAAAAATATACAACTCACAAAATACTCTTACACAAAAATCAACTAAAAATTTACCACATAATACACAAGCCTAAAAATGGAATTAAAATGCTAGAGTGGAACATCTGAAGTTTAAATTCCAATAAACACAATCTTATTAATCTTGTGAGGGACAATAAACATGACATAAAAATTCTTGGTTAAAACCCAATTTTAAATTCTCATTTACAGGATTTCAAACCATCAGATCAGATCGAACAGATGGGTATGGTGGAGTCGCAATACTCATTAAAAATAACATTAAACATACTCAAATTAACAATTTCAAATTTAACAATAACAGAATTCAACAAATAACTATAAAAATGGGTAGCTTAAATATTATAGGTATATATTGTCCCCCACAAGACAAAATACCAAAAAATGCTTTCTATAGTGAGTTAAATGGACAGTTGCTTATTATGGGAGACTTAAACGCGCACCACAACACTTGGGGCAGTGCTCAGGTTAACCATAATGGCAAAATAATATTTGAATTCATTAAAGACAAAAATCTAATTGTTACCAACGACCACAGTACCATGTTTGCAAAATCCATTGTATCGGCCGAACTCGCAACCAAATCCTCATGGATGAGAATCCCTGACTGTGGATTTAGCGATCATTTATCCACATTTATCACAGTTTTTTCAAAAAACTCCAAAATCATTAAAAACTAGACTTTTGCAAGAAGAAAATTCAAAAAAACAGACTGGTAAAGGTTCTCAAAAGAGTTGGAGTGCGAGATCTCATCTATACCTGAGGTGAGTAAAGATTTTAACACACTTTACCAAGGAATAAATATCACTGCTGAAAAACTAATACCTGGAACCAAAATAAATAAAAAAAATGCTCTTCTTGGTGGGACGCTCAATGTCAAGAATAAATAAAAAAAGAAAAGAAATCATGAAAATTACTTAGAAGTAAATAACAAATTAAAAAATGTAGAAGATTTTTAAGAAAGAAAAAAAAGAAAATTTTAAATTATTCTGTTCATCCCTAAATCGAGACTCAAATATCAATCACATATGGAAAACAATAAGAAAATTCCCAAACAATCACAGTAACTTTAAAAGCTGCCTTCCAAGCAATGAAATTGCACCTTAAATCCTTGAAAAATTAAATGAAATAGATATAAACCCTAACCATCATTTAGTGACAAATGACATTCAGGCCCCACCAATCATAGTAGAAGAGATCAAATTCTCCATTAAATACAAAAAAGATTCAGCAACAGGGATGGATGGGATCTCGTACTCCATTTTAAATAACTTACCTGAAAAGGCTACACACATTCTATGCAACATATTTAATGAAAGTCAGCATATGATAACGGAAACATCTCAATCATCCATAATTACTTATCAAAACTCAACATACAACAAAATTACTCAAACTTAATCTATAATATTCCTTCTCACAGGAACTTGTTTATTAGGGATTGCGGCAACCAAATTCAACTTGGTCGGGAATGGTATTTGAGGTAATTCCCAAAAACACATGCCTACCGTCATGCTGATGATTTGGTCCTCTTTACCAGGGGTAATAATATAAAAAAATGACAGAAACCATTAACAATACTTGAAATAATATAAACTCATGGTTTTCTAAACATAAACTCTCAATATCATCGGACAAACCGGAATTCATATGGTTCAGGAAAAGAAAAAGTAAACAATCACCACAAACAATAAAAATAGGGAATAATACCTTCAACGAATTCCTTAATAGGAAAAACCAGGTTACGGTATGATTGCTAAAGCCAACCAAGGCATTAATGCAATGAGAGCAATAGCAAGGGTTTACTGGGGGACCAGACCCCAAAATATTGTTAATGGTATACAATGGTCTAGTAAGATCACAATTACAATTCGGATCAATTTTATTAAGTCCCATACACAAAAATTTAAAAAAAAGGCTTCATTCCACCCAGAATAAAGCATTAAGGGTTATTATTACAGGCACTATGAAAACTGAAAGAAGAAAATGGCTAACAACCAAATTCTTATCAAAAATAATTCTATTTAAATCCCACCCCTTAATTCCTATTATGGCAATGCTAAAACAAGACTGCTTAAAACCAAACACATATTGGAAATCAAAAGAATACCCCAAGAATCATCCAAGTAACACCCCTACTTAATAAATACATAAACAACATTAGAAGAAGTGCCATGCCTTGCTTTGAAATCGAATATTGTTACCAGTTTGCCCAAATTAAAAATAAAAATCTAAACTTAAGAATAAACTATAAAATAAAATTTTTAGAAAAACTCGAAAAATTTAAAACAAAATAAAACAACATCACAATATGATATATTATATACAAATGCATCAAAAATTAATCAAAACGGTTATAGAAATCTATATGCCTGAGAACGATATTCGATTTTTTTTCGACTCCCAGACCATCTCCATATTTGCACAGGAGAAATGGCCGCAATATGTAAGGGTGTAGAAATTGCAGTCTCTAAAAATATAAAATGTAACCTAATCTGAACAGACTCTGCTAGTGCCCTTAAAAAATTACTAAACAATAAATACTCATCAAAAGATCAAAATATGTATATCGATTGCCACTTTATTACAATAGCCACAGAAAACGTTTTCGACTTTATATTAGCATGGGTACCAGGACACGACGAAATCCACGGAAATGTGGTTGCAGACCAACTAGCGAATATTGGGGTAAACCTGAATGTCCCTTTAAATTTAAATTTCGACCAGAAATAACAGAAATACTGCCTGAATAAAAAAGAGCTTTACCAAGCATACAACAAGAAATGGTTAAAAACATTTCCAAGAACAGGGAGCTGGTATGGAAAGATAGTCGACGAACTTCCGAACAAACCGTGGTTCTATACCAACAAAATACAAAACCGAAGACACCTAACAGCTATCATGCGCTTAAGAACAGGACATTGCCTTACAAACGCACACCTACACAGAATAGGTATACTAGAAAACCCCTACTGCGAATGCGGACAACTGGTTGACCTAAAACATATTTTACTTGAATGCCCAATCAATGGCGACATATACTTCGAACTGGGACAAAGTGGATTAGAATCACCAACAAGCCTACAACTGATTCTGAAAAACCTAAATAACAAAACTATAAAAATATTGTTAAAATTTATGGACTACCACAAAATAATATTATAACCTTTCTTTCTTATTACAGATCCTTTCAATAACACTTCCTGGGTTCCTATACCGAGCTGTCAAAGTCGCTTGGCCGCTACCCCCAAGCGTGAAAAATCTTACCTTTGTTTGTAACGTCTAACTAACACCCTATTAAACTCATTTTAGCAAAAATACACCTCTGGAAATATAACCTGGAGAACGACCTTAAAATAACAATTAGGGATGAGACTACTCAGATACTCTTAATTGAGTCCCTTGAGCTTGGTGGAAACCGAAAAATATAAAGTGCTGACCAAATAGCTTTTAAATGAAGCTAAATGCCATTTCTCTAAACAGATTTATGATCAGGATTAAGAAAAAGAAACACACCAAATCACCCAGTAAACACAGTAAAGTGCCAGTACAGTAAAATAGCTATTTTGACTGGGCCTGCAATGGGCCAGGCGACATTCTGCTGCTGGACCCGTACCGGCACTTTACTGTGTTCCAGTGTTGCCAGGTGAAGCAAAACAAAAAGTGGTACCAAGTTCTCGATTAAAAACTTTTCTTACTACCTCGGCCGAAAATACGTATAGCCTTGACCAATGCATAAAACGAAACAACGTATTTTCTGCCGGGTAGCAAGAAATAGTATTTTATGGTACACCCAAGTTTTACAAACTTACGAATAGTCTAGAAAGTTTTCTTGATCGTGAGTTTATTATTCTCAAACTGTCAAACCACAGAAGTTCTGTGACAGAACGCTAAACATACATTATTCAGAAATTCAGGATATCACAGAACAACTTTTATTGGTTGCGCCGTGCAACTTGCGCGCTTCTTTGGTTTTATATTACAAACATTCAATGTAGGGCACAGGAAGAGGTAATTTTTCTTGCCTACCTACAAGGCACAGTGAGTATAATAGGTAGCCTACCTAAGGTAGGTAAGACAAATTACATTTTCCATCATAATGTTGGCCACATATTTACTAAATTAGCATTATATTCTACAAAAAGAATTTAGTCTAAAAATAATGGTATATAATGATATAAAATCGTAACGCCCTCGGTGGTGTAGTAGTTAGCACTGCGGACTACAAGCCGAGAGGTCGTGGGTTCGAATCCCACCAGGGGTATGGTTGTTTATTTGTGTTTGTCATTGTGTATTTCTGTAATTGGGCCTGGTGCCTGTTGAAAGCACATTAAAAATAATAATAATAATAATAATAAAAAGGTACATAAATTGGAAATGGTACAAAGTACAAAAAAATGGTATAAATACCCCAGATAGCACAAGAGGTACTCAGGACGTCCATTTTGGGTACGTCCAGTCTCTTACTTATTTGGGAAAATTAAAGCGGATATACTCGGTACGTCCCAAGGACGTAATTTTTGTTTTTTTTTAGCAATTAAAGAATGGTATTTCCAAAGGTTCCAAGTGTCAAGTTGGGTAAATAATATATTATCATTTAAAAATAGTTTGTGTCATGCAGAATGAGTTAAAAAATATTCCAACATTTATATGTTCAAAATATTTGTTTTTCATTGATAACTCACAATTTTATTTTTGTCACTTAGACCCTTAAGGGTCCAAATTTGGAAATACCACTCTTCAATTCTGTATAGCTTGTCCAATAATCCCCAATAAAGTATTTTAGGACGGCCAGAGAATGTCTTACTTAGGACGTTCTGGGGACCGACGATTTGGTAACATCGGATGTCCCTGGTACGTCCTGGGGAAGGTTCAGTACCTGATTCGGACATACTCGATTCGGAACTCGAATCGAATAATTCGAAAAATTTCGAATAATTCGAAATTTTTTGAATAAGTAATTCCAATTTTTTTGAATTATTGGTAAACTATTATATTATTATCGAATTTTCGAGTATTTTGAATTTAGGGTTTCTTATGTTCAATATTCAAATATGAATTTAACAGTCAATATACATTTTATTCAAACCATGAAATATAGTTACACAAATAGAACAATAAGTATAGTTTTTTTTTGAAAGAGAATGAAATAACAAAAATTATATCATAGCAAATACAGTATTATGAAAAATACAACATTTGAAAATTTGCTACAAATTTTTGTGCAAAAATAATAAATACGATACTGAAACATTACATGAGTACCTTTTTCTTATAGATTTTTTTTTCTGGGTAATTGATTTTTTTAACGAAAAGTATATTATTCGTAAGTAGAATATTTCGATACCCGATTTAAAGGAATTTAAATGGAAGCAATTGAAAATCCAGATATATTTCATTATTTCGCGAATTATTTGAAAATTTTCGAGTTATTCAAAATTTTTCGAATTATTATAATTTTTCGAATAATTTAAAAATTTTCGTATTACCTTTTCGTTTTTTTTCGAATTCTTCGTAGAATTTCAAATAATTCGAAAAATTCAAATTATTCGATTCGAATATCAATATTCAATTCGATTCGATTCGAACGATATTCGCACACCCCTAATAATAATGTTAAAATTAATTATTATTAATATTAACCAAATAATTATTTAAAAAAGAAAAGTAAACTATATCATATCATTTACCTTGAATTAACTTATTTATTAAGTGGCAAGTTAAAAAAAAATAACAAAAAGAAAAGGTAGGTCTATTTGTCCCACACAAAAAATGAACATTTCTCCTGAACCTAAAAAAAAACCAAAACAGTGACAGTGACAGAGAAAAAATAAAATTAAGGTAATTTCACAATATAATACGTTTATAGCCATGGAATTTCTACAAAAGTTTGTGTTGTCCCACCTCTAATCATTTTGCTAGAGCACGCCTGTGATTGGCTACTTTATTTTATTAAGAACTTATTAATGGTGCTTCTGATCAAAAAACGGCAAACTATTTGACTTAGAATCCCAACCTCTATCCACCCCTTTTCTGCTGTCCTTGACTTTTGAGACACACTGTATTAAATGCTGGCTAAATCCACCTTTAAAAGTTGCCCAAGTTTACCTTACATTATATGCTGGCTAAACGCCTCCATAGGGTTATACAGTTTTATCTTTTAAATTAAATTACATTACGTTACATTACATTACATTTAATGCTGGCCAAATCCACCTTTACTTTCACAATTTTGTAATTTAGGTTTTTTTATTCCTTACCTTGCTTAATTTTAAAGAAGTGTCATAGTCCTTGTTTTTTATAGCCTCACGGGCTTCTTTTAATATTGCTTTACTATCTTTCATTATAAATAATCTGTAATAAAAATTAAATTTAAATTAAATTTTACACTTAATATATGCTGTATTGCATATAAATAAAACTTACTGGTATGAAGTTTATTTACAATATTCAATTAATGTATCAACAGTATAAAACCTTAAATAAACAATTTCATAAAATAACAGTGTCAGCTGTTATAACCTTACTTTTGTTGCCAAGTTGGCAGTGTTGCCAACAACAAAATTCACTAAATATCTATTAAATTCTCCGCAACCTACAATTAAAATGTAATGTATTCTTAGCAAATTTTACCATAAGGTTGGGTAAAACAGTAAAAATTCTTCGCAGACCATAAAATTCTCCGAAAAACGGAGATTTCTACGACGATCAGCAACACTGTTGCCAACCTAAAAAATATCCAGAATTAACCCTACAAAGTGGTACCAACACAAAAATAACCAATTAAACTGAAAATAACCAATTAAACAGATGAAAATGTCCGCCCCAAAAGCAGGAGAGGCTGTTCAAAAACAAATTCAACAGGACTGGTTAAATAGAGAGTACATCGAGGTGATTACGATCAGCATAAAGAAAATCACGGACTTTCTGAACTCCTTTGGTAAAAACGTCACTTGACATGACAGTTCTAAAATAATTCTATTTATAAATTTCAGATTTGTCTTGTCGCTCCAAACTTGCCGGTTTAAACGAAAAATTAACCATTTTGGAAAGGAAAATTGATTATTTGGAAGCTTGTGTAAGGTTTCTAGATTTATACAATATTTTTCTTATTTAATTCTATATTTTTTAGGTAACAAAAGGCGAAACACTGACATGAGAAAAAGATTAATTTTTAGTTGTTTTTATTGATTTACCAATGTCAATACTCTGCAAACAACTTCTAACATCCATTAAAGCCTGCAATAAAAGACCACTTTTTCATTGGATAAACATACAATTCAATGCTGTAGATGAAGATCGTGTAAAATTATTAGGTCCAGATCGTACATGTGCAGAATGGATTCTCCGTAATGGTGGTTCAGTTAAATTTGCAAGAGCAGGCAGTCAGATGGATAATTACAATGATTTACCCCCAGAAGAGGTTTCTGTCAAGTTGGAGGAAATACATGCAATTAACTGTAGCATAATGAAAAATGGTTTTAAGCATTTGGATGGTTGTCAAAATGTTAAGAAATGCGTTTTTCATCAGTGTAATTATCTTGAAGATGATGCTCTTAAGGAGTTAATGTATGTTAAGTCGACTTTAACAAGTCTTACAATTTCACAATGTGGAAATATCACTGATAATGGTATATTGTATGTTAATGCTTTAAGCAACTTAAAGGAGTTTAATTTTTCTGATTTGCCTGGTGTTAAAGATAAGGAAAAAGTTGTGCAAGCATTAAAAAGTAGCATGCCAAAAACAAATATTATTTTTAAGTAAAAATTTTATGGATTTATTTTACCTTTAAAGTTTGGCAATTAGGTACCTATAGGTACAATATATTGTGTCAAAATTATTAAATTTTTTTAGATCAAGTTTATTGTATTTTTATTTATTATATTGACTTATACCTAGGATTTGTAATTTTTAAAACGTTAATAAACTAGAAAATATGTGCTTTTTTATTTTTCATTTTAAGTAACAATTTACCTAATAACATTTAGTAATTACTACAAAAAGTGTGGTTAAAAATGTTTGACAGTTGTCAGATAAAATATCAATTTGATATACCAAAGATTAAATATCTGTGGGTAAAAGGCACAGACCACCTGGTGGTCTGTGGTAAAAGGCATAAGGGGATACGTCAAAAAAAGCAATTTTTCGGTAGAGATTTAAACGTGTTCGCATTAATTCAGGAAATATATTTATGGTTAGCTTGCATACCCTTATGCTAGCACATGACATGTGCTGGCAAAAGGATATACCCGCTAACCATAAATGTATTTCCTAAATTAATGCAAACACATTTAAGGCACTACTAAAAAATTGATTGTTTTGACTTATCCCCTTCCCAGATAGCACCATTCGTCCAATGGACGTCCGTTTAAGATCCATTTTAAGTACATTGGTCCACGGACTAAAAATGGATGTACTATGTACGTCCATATATTTACATCGTTTGTACGATTTTAATGGACGTCCATATAGTGTCCATTTTACGTCCATAATTATTATTACGGAAATGTAGTTAAAACGTATTGTTGGCTGCATAACAACAGTTATGATCAATCTCACTGACATTCAAGCAAGCGCATAGAAAAATTAGATTCCGCGGAAAGTAATGTTTTAATTATTTCTCAAAATTTATAAAAATAAAAGGTACTTTTAATCGAAAAAAAGGTTTTTGCTAAATTATCCCTAGATTTTGGGACAATATCCCTTTTTCCCTGCCTTACATCCAAAATCCCTAGATTCGGGATAAATCCCTAGACCTGGCAACGCTGATTTATTATACAAATTTCCCGTGGACGAGTTTTGGTTCGTGCCGCGCATGACGTCACTCGATTAGTAGTCACCGAACGAATACACGAAAAATAGTATTATTATCAAAGAAAAAGAGAAATATCTGGACATAGTACGTAAACCAGAAACAGTAGCGGTCTTAACGTTAATATTGTCTATTCTTTTTGTGGCATGTAACCACTGTTTGCACAAATTCAAGTTTTTGGGGAATCGTAAAAATTTAATGATTTTATTTTAAGCGTTTGTCTTGGACTGGTTGTCCGAATCGCATAAAAATATCCCACACCACATGCAAATGGCACGACCCTAAACAAAAACAAGTGTTTTTGTTTAGGGGCACGACACAAACAAAACATTTTTTATTAAGGTTATTAACGCAACACAAAAACAATAATAAACAAACAGAACAGGTTAACACAACGAAATAATAATAATTTGAACACTGAAAAGGAATTAGAACCTTACCGAACGCAAAAACAACAAGTTAAGCAAAAAAACAGAGCAAGTTAACATCCAACAGCATCACAAAAAGCAGAATTTTAGCAGCAGCACAGAATATTCTGGTATTCTGTGGTAGCAGATAATTAAAACGCACGTTACAGATTTAAGATAGTATCTTTAGATAATTAAAACGCACGTTACATTAAGATTGTATCTTTAAGATACTCAACGAATAACGTATTTAAGCCTCGCCCAACATGCGCACCATCCTATCCTATGGTGTATGTATCTTGGTAAACGTTAATTTCTACCAGGGTGAACAATACCGTACGGAACTACGATTTTCGTATTGTTCATCTTTTTCTGGAAGAAGGAAGGAAGGCAATCTATAAATCAGGCTTTACTCCTCGAATTCATATGGATTTGAAGCTCCCGAATATAATTTCAGTACAAAATAGGGTTAGATTAAATTGACATTTGACAACACTTACAAATTATTGTCATATGAAAAATTAACATTTTGATAGCGAAAAAAATTCTGCCTGTCTAAACCATTTCAAAATTTTCAGCAATGTCTTCAAAATTTCCAATTGCCAAAGCCGCCTACCTAAACACAGAACTAAGAAATTGCAATAAATCTCAAAAGAAGCTTTTTGAACTAAAGGAAAATGTAATTGAAAACTTTGAAAATCTTAAAAGAAAAACCAGGCAGTTTGTCGATCCAAATAGCTTTTATAAATTAAAAAAATCTATGAAGAATTCAAAAAAACAGTATTGTGCAAAGTTGTTGCCACAAAGTCATATTTCTGTTTTAACTGTAGATAAATTGACAGCTGAGATGGACAGGTAATGTTCTTTGGTCAAAACGTTTGGCATGGAGCGTACACAAGGAGTACGAACTCGATCTAAACAAATGGCTTCCCAAAATAAGAGGGCGCTAGTGTTCTGTTTGTTGTTTGTAGGAGTACAAAATGCACAGACAAAATGTAAATCGGCGCTGCTAATGGTGAAAAAGAACGTAATTTGTGCGATTCTGTCAATTCCCCCTACTGAGTTTGTACTCCTTGTGTAGGCTTCATGGTATTAATTACGCATCCACTCTTTTTCTTAAGTAAAGGGTGACATTTTATTTGTCAATTACAAAAATGTTTGGTACCTATAGGGTGTTTTATACAGAGCACTTCATAAGAACGTCGTCATATACTGTTTGGTGCGGTATCTGTTCAGCTGGAATCCTGGGTTCATATTTTTTGAAGACGACATGCATGTAACCCATGGGTTACCCATGATGGGTAATGCAATAGTCGTGAACAGCGAACGATACGTGGAAATGTTGCAAACATTCCTGAGGGATGTCATCGGTCAACTTCACTTACCAGAGGACGTCATTTGGTACCAACAAGATGGTGCGAGACCTCATGTGGCCAATGAATAATTTTTAAGAATTAACTTTCACAATATATAAGAACCCGGACAACATTCGTGATATTCATACGAACATCATGTCGTGATTTTCACAAATTTTATTCATACTGATATCATACGGAAGTCACCGCGTGATAAATGAAAATCATACGAACGTCACGTCGTGATTTTCACAAATTTTATTCATACGGACATCATCCGGATGTCACTGCGTGAAAAATGAAAATCATGTCGTGATTTTTTATGCCATCGCTGTTTGCGATTGACCGATGGCACAAAAAATCATGTCGTGATTTTTTATGCCATCGGTGTTTGGATATTTATTTTTGCGCTACATTCGTACCTACATTGAGAGAAAAAGTATACCTACATATATATTGAATCAACAGTTTTTGTGGTTAAATACATTCAATATTTGTTGGATTAAAATTATTAGTTAATTTACATCCAAGAAAATATTAAATGTATTTGACCGCAAAAACTGGTAATTCAATTGTTAACATACTTTTTCTTTCAATGTACGAATGTGGCGCAAAAATAAATATCCAAAAATGTCGGTGCACCGATGGCATAAAAAATCATGTCGTGATTTTTTAGGCCATCGGTCAATCGCAAACAGTGATGGCACAAAAAATCATGACATGATTTTCATTTCTCACGCAGCAAAACCCCGGACAACATTCGTGATATTCATACGAACATCATGTCGTGATTTTCACAAATTTTATTCATACTGATATCATACGGAAGTCACAATGAAAATCATACGAACGTCACGTCGTGATTTTTCCAAACTTTATTCATACGAACATCAGTCGGATGTCACTGCGTGAGAAATGAAAATCATGTCGTGATTTTTTATGCCATCGCTGTTTGCGATTGACCGATGGCACAAAAAATCATGTCGTGATTTTTTATGCCATCGGTGTTTGGAAAATCATTTTTGCGCTACGTTCGTACACTAAGAGAAAAATTATGTTGAATCAACAGTTTTTGCGGTTAAATACATTCAATATTTTCTTGGATTTAAATTAACTATATATATAGTTAATTTAAATCCAAGAAAATATTGAATGTTAAACTGTTGATTCAATTGTTAACATACGTTTTCTTTCAATGTACGAATATGTCGCAAAAATGAATATCCAGACACCGATGGCATAAAAAATCATGTCGTGATTTTTTATGCCATCGGTGTCAAGACGTCAATCAATTAGGAGAGCAACAGGCACTCTTCGTAGACGAAGCAGAAAATGTTTAGAGGTCAATGGCTATATTTTCGAACATTTATTAAAAGAACGCTATGATTAAAATAACGTTAATGTATGAACTTTTGTTTTGTGCTATAATTTGAAAACAAATAAAAATCGGATAAGAACATATGAGTTATTTTACATTATTTTCATGTGTATAATTATAATTATAATATAATTGACCGATGGCCTAAAAAATCACGACATGATTTTTTATGCTATAGGTGTTTGGGCATAAAAAATCACGACATGATTTTTTATGCCATCGGTGCACCGACATTTTTGGATATTTATTTTTGCGCCACATTCGTACATTGAAAGAAAAAGTATGTTAACAATTTAATTACCAGTTTTGCGGTCAAATACATTTAATATTTTCTTGGATGTAAATTAACTAATGATTTTAATCCAAAAAATATTGTATGTATTTAACCACAAAAACTGTTGATTCAATATACAGGGTGAGTCGGGAGGAACGGACCAAACTTCAGGAGTGTATTAATACACTCCTGAAGTTTGGTCCGTTCCTCCCGACTCACCCTGTATATTGAATCAACAGTTTTTGTGGTTAAATACATACAATATTTTTTGGATTAAAATCATTAGTTAATTTACATCCAAGAAAATATTAAATGTATTTGACCGCAAAACTGGTAATTAAATTGTTAACATACTTTTTCTTTCAATGTACGAATGTGGCGCAAAAATAAATATCCAAAAATGTCGGTGCACCGATGGCATAAAAAATCATGTCGTGATTTTTTATGCCCAAACACCTATAGCATAAAAAATCATGTCGTGATTTTTTAGGCCATCGGTCAATTGCAAACAGTGATGGCACAAAAAATCATGACATGATTTTCATTTCTCACGCAGTGACATCCGGATGATGTCCGTATGAATAAAATTTGTGAAAATCACGACGTGACGTTCGTATGATTTTCATTTATCACGCGGTGACTTCCGTATGATATCAGTATGAATAAAATTTGTTCGTATGAATATCAAGAATGTTGTCCGCGGGTTCAATTAAAAAAGATATTCCAATGTTTAAGAAAACGTTCAGGTTTTGTTAAACATTGGAATATCTTTTTTAATTGAACCCGGAATACATTCGTGATATTCAAACAACATTTTATAAATTATAACGGTGTAATGTGAATAACAAACTAGGTTTTAAATTCGCAGTTCGCAGGGCTCATACGCATGCGCAAATTTTGCAAATATCACACCGTGAGTTCTACATGATATCACTGTGATGAAGCATGTGTATGCACTCAGGATATCACAGCGTGATAAAAAAAATCACGTTGTGATATCATCATGACTTCACCAGGAAATCCCGATTGTTGTCCGGGTAATATGTAATATGTAACGGGTGATTCATTTAGACCTTTTTTTAAATTCTAAATAAAATGCATAAAATGGAATTGGATGGCGGAATCTTATGGCATGAACAATCTTTGACATTTATTTTTTGAAAATAATTTCATTTAAATGCTGTCCGGGACTACGGCGTACGTGGTCCATTCGGAAGATCCAATTTTCGATCACTCTTTCTAGCATTGCGACCGGTATACCGGCAGATATATCTGCCCAATGAGGCGAGTAATGTTGGCTTCTTAGTCCTGAATCGTAGCTGGATTATAGACGAAGACTTTTGACTCGGGTAATTGGGCAGATACCGGTCGCAATGCTAGAAAGAGTGATGGAAAATTGGACCTTCCGAATGGACCACGCTGTACGCGGCCAGCATTTAAATGAAATTATTTAAAAAAAATAAATGTCAAAGATCGTTCTTTTAGGTCATAATAAAGATTCCGCCATCCAACTCTATTTTATGCGTTTTATCTAGAATTTAAAAAAAAAGGTCTAAATGAATCACCCTAATAATAATGTTTACATAATTAAAATAATATATTGTATTAAAATGGTATTTGATTGTTTAAAATGTATCCACAATAAATAACAAGGCAATTCAAAGGACATCCCATTCCTGTATATATAGGTACCCATGGGACTTTCAGGGGGCATCCTTAGGATGTCCTATACCTTGACCTATGTGGACCTAGGGATATCCTAGGATGTCCTAAAGACCATTTGCAGGACGTCTGTAGACTGGCCTTTTTTTCACCTCTCGGCCATGGTTGCCTGAGAAGGTCAGAGGACGTCCTAGGATATTCTTGGGATATCCCAATATCCTGTAGCATATGTTGTCTACCAATTTTTTTTAACTGATATCAGTATACGGTCTCAAATGTAGTTCTCTTTTAAATGTATTGGGCACGGTCTTATATAAGACCGTGGTATTGGGTTTTGATGACATTATATTTTTATATTCCTGCCTAAAGTCACTAATTGACATTTTGTGAAAATCTTAAAAAACATAGTTGTGTGGATTGTTGTTTATATATCCAAATTAACCATATCTTTATTGTCATATGCATATAATGCTTAACCCTTATGCTGCTGCAGTCGTATATCTACGCTTTAGGGCCCACTGCTACAGATATACGTTTCGCGCTTTAAAAGTATTTCCAAACTGCTGCTGCCGTTCATTTACGCGTCAACTAAATTTGGCACTATACAGTGGTTCGTGAACTGCTGGGGACGTAAATTTACGCACTGGGCGCGAAAACGCCGAACAGCGGTGACACTCTTATAACAAAACTCAGTAGTGTAAGGGTTAAAGCACTTAGTGACTTTTATACATTAAAGATAAGGCAAATTTGGTTAGTAATTTAAAGTAAGATTTATAAATACAAAATTTCAGTTTTGGCAGGAATATAATGATATATGATTATATATAATTGTATAGAATTCTATATAATTATATCGGGTCGGTTTTCTTATATAATTATATATACTTCTATATAATTGTATAGAATTCTATCCAATTATATCGGGCTATTTTTTTTAAATATTTATTTAATTTTATACATTTATATGCAATCTTTTTTTATCGGGCACTCTTAATAGTAGAGGATCCCAAGTAAGGTCGACCTTCACCCATCTGCTTACCAGATGAAAATTATATTTTATCAAATAAAATATGTTTCTGAACATAAACCAATAGGGTTGCCATAAAAAATATGATCAAGGCTAGCTATAATAAATAAAAAATTAAAAAAAAATAATTATTTTTTTAAATTTCACCGACTTGCTTGCCAAATGAACGAAATTCCAATGGAAAGCATACAACATACAGAATATGTAACACAGAATATGTAACAGCTATGTTGCCTACCTTTTTCTGGTCCCTATTACCTGGTTGCTTTGTACAGGGTGATCCCCTATAATGTCGCCCCCCTTTAACTTTTTTATTTTAAGTGTCCCAAAAAATTTAAAAGTTTGGTTATGTAGGTACTAAAAAATACTTTTTTTCTACGTATAAAGAAAATTGGAAAATTGATCAGTATACAGGGAAAAACAAAAAGTTTATTTTTTTTCAATGGATCACCGTATATATGAATTTATTTTTCGATTCCTTGTAAAATTCTGAGCATAATTTATATAACAAACCATATACCTAAATTCAACCTTTTCTGAAATATTCGCATTCGAAATGTCATCATTAAATGTTTTTTTAAACTGTTAGAAATCAAGAAGCCTCAGTATACAAAAATTTTTATTGAAAATAAATTACTATAGTGACATTATGTCAATAAGTGTTGTTAAATAAGTAAAAATGGCGTACTCAGACAGAGAAAAACAAACTATTTCAACTTATTATCTTAAAAATAATTTAAATATTTCAGAAACGGTTGAATTTAGGTATATGGTATGATATATGAAATATGCTTAGAATTTTACAAGGAATCGAAAAATAAATTCATATATAGGGTGATCCATTGAAAAAAATAAACTTTTTGTTTTCCCTGTATACTGATCAATTTTCCAATTTTCTTTATACGTAGAAAAAAAGTATTTTTTAGTTCCTACATAACCACACTTTTAAATTTTTTGAGACACTTAAAATAAAAAAGTTAAGGGGGGCGACATTATAGGGGATCACCCTGTACAAAGCAACCAGGTAATAGGGACCAGAAAAAGGTAGGCAACCTAGCTGTTACATATTCTGTATGTTGTATGCTTTCCATTGGAATTTCGTTCATTTGGCAAGCAAGTCGGTAAAATTTAAAAAATTAATTATTTTTTTTTAATTTTTTATTTATTATAGCTAGCCTTGATCATATTTTTTATGGCAACCCTATTGGTTTATGTTCAGAAACATATTTTATTTGATAAAATATAATTTTCATCTGGTAAGCAGATGGGTGAAGGTCGACCTTACTTGGGATCTTAGACTATAAATTGTCACCCTTTATTATAAAAATACAATTGTGCTGTCATAATTTTTGACTTCTATCAAACATTATATGTTCTTATACATATTTATACAAAAATGTCTGATATTGGAGAGGATGGTAATGTTAAAGAAGTAATGAAAGAAACGCGATGTTTAATAACTGATTTAAATTTAATTAGAGATGAAATAATAACAAAAGAAACTCCGTAAAAAATATTGTACAAAAACTAAAATTTAAGGAAAACTAAATGTTATATTTTTTAGGGAAATAAGCATGATTCAAGACAAGTTCACGCAAATATCTCAACAAATAGAGGAAAGAAAAAAGTTTATAAACAATAGGCTCGAAGTTATTTCAAAATTGGACTTAATCATAAACATTTTAAAATATAAAATTTATGAAGTCAGGTAAACAAATGTTAGCCATAAAAAATAACAAGTAATTATTCTTATTGTTAGATATGAATGCCGAAAAAATTTGGATATGCTCCATATAAGAAAGCAAAAACTAAGAAATGCTTGTTTTAAAGATTTAACGGAAATGCAGGTTGCAATGGAATTGGAAGAAATTGATAATCAAATGAAGGAAGAACAAAGAAATGTTGAAATACAACTTGAAAGTCTAAAAGAGCAAAAAATTGTAAATAAGACTTCAGGTTCTAAATATTTAATCAAAATAATAACATAACATTACCTACAAATTCTACGCACTTGTGTTTAGACTAATTTATTATTTTTTTTAGGAAATCCAACTTGAATATGAAAGCATAATAAACACAATGGACATAGACATGGAACAAATTTTGGAATTATACAACAATTTACTTGGTACCGTTGAAGAAGAAAAAATGGAGGCTGACCCCATAGACATTGAAGTTATAGAAGAAAAATCAAGACCCACTATAGACGAGTTTAAAAAAGATATTGACTATTTCAACGAAATTAAATTAAGTGGTTGGAGAATTTCAAATTCCGAAGAAAAACTATCAGGTAGCCAGTGTTTGGAGCGATATTTTCAATGTTTTTGTTTGATTTCATTGGAAAAGTACAATTTTTTGGGTGTTAAATTTATTTGATGTAATAAAGTACCAATTTCTTTGAATTTGTTTTTTTTTGAGAATAAATTAAAAATACGGTGTATATAAGGGATATTTTAGATGTTCTGGAATCAAAAGGTTTAAAAATTACAAAAGATGGACTTTTAATAACAGAATCTGGAAGATTAATAACAATACAAGAAGCTAAAGAAGAAGATTATTTGCAAGGTATAGAATTAGATATGGAAAAATCCCCATTAAATGAACAATCAGACGTGGTTTCCTCAAAAACATCCAAAACAAAAACCACCACCAGTGAAGGTACCAAAAGACTCTTATTTTTTTGTAACACAGTTCAGTTGGTTACTTTTTTAGCTAGTTCGGTTTATTCTAGAATGGACTCGGAAGATGTAAGTTACTTAAAAGAAAATTTAGGAAAACCTTTAACATTAGCATTGGCTGAAATAACAGCAGTTCAACCAAGGGACCCCATACATTACTTAGGCCATTGGCTTTTCAAATTCAGATATAATCAAGAACTGGATGAAACCCAGCAAATCGAAATTGACGCCTTAACAGCTGAGCGAGATCGTTTGGCTAAAGAAAGATGGGTAAAATGTTTCAACTGCATTCCTTCCCATATGTAAATTTTTCTCTAAAAAAGTTTTAATAAGTAAAATTAAGAGTTTTGAAAGTCTTACTTTCTCTTAAAGACTTAAGTCTTTAATTATTAAGCCAGAAGAATAAGTCTTAGTAAGTCAAACTAATAGAAAGATTTGGGAGTGTTCTGGAAGAGTTAAGAAGACTTAATAAGACTTTTAGCAGAGAAATGGTAGGTACCTATAGCGATAAAAATAAATATCCGGAATATAACAACACAAAAACGTTTATAAATGCTTATCTTTGTGTTTTCTTTTACAATAACCAAATACAACATCTCTGAATAATTCCGGATATTTATTTTAATCGCTATAGGTACCTACCATTTCTCTGCTAAAAGTCTTATTAAGTCTTCTTAACTCTTCCAGAACACTCACAAATCTTGCTATTACACTATAGTCCGACTAAAGTCGTTTCATATAGATGCGAAATACGAATATCCGCAACTCCTTTTTCATATAGATGCTAACTATTTTAGGGACATTGTTTTCTCACCATCATATTTTCCGTGCTATTTTACCCAGACAGCATCCAATTCAGAAAAATTTCTGAACAGTCTGTTAAAAAACATCTTACCGTGCACGCACGCAGGCGCCACATTTGGAGGGCGCAAAATCAAAGAGTCAATCAGTACTTTGTAACGATAAACTTGCAAATAAACAAATACTTAAACATAGATAGGATAAAGGTTACCGCCTTTCTTTGCGTCGGCCGCTATAAAGTCCCTTTTGCGGCTTTGATATTGGCGGCCTAATTTTTTTTATGTGTATCAAAATAAAAGGAGAGAAATTGTGATATTTTTTTTCTACAACCGAGCGAAAAGTACAATGGGGTAGTTAAATTTTTTCTGACCTATACTTTTTATGGTTTTATTCAAGGCGTTTTGTAATATTAAACATTTCTGTGAAATCAGAATTTCAATTGAGTTTACCGTTTTCGAGATATTTACAAAAAATATAAATTTTTATGACGTCACAAACCTCGCCATGTGACCAACATTCTAAGACTTCTATTGGTTGAAAATTGCCCTGTTGTCAAGTTGTCTTGTTAATGATTTCATTCGGTTATGTCAGAAAATACCCGAAGAGGTTATGTACAGGGTGGTCCACGTAAGGTGACCCATATACTTATCTCAGAAACTACTGGAGTCACAAAAAATTTGTAAGGAACAAATATTCACGAAGTAAAAAATATTTTTAAAATATTATATTTTCATTTATACAGGGTGTTCGGTTTTCCTTGGGACGATACCAACTTTCTTATTTTCAATGGAACACCCTGTATTTTTTTGCATTTTTGGATTCTTCCCACTCTATAATATATTTACAAAGTATACCTAAAAGAGTGGGTAGAATCAAAAAATGCAAAAAAATACAGGGTGTTCCATTGAAAATAAGAAAGTTGGTATCATCCCAAGGAAAACCGAACACCCTGTATAAATGAAAATATAATATTTTAAAAATATTTTTTACTTCGTGAATATTTGTTTCTCACAAATTTTTTGTGACTCCAGTAGTTTCTGAGATAAGTATATGGGTCACCTTACGTGGACCACCCTGTACAAATACTGTCACTGTCAGTTGAGTGAAAGATGGTCACCAAATTCATTAAGTACCTATCTTCCTTATTACGAGGTATCATATTACTGTTTGATATTTTAGAGTCCAAGAAATATCTAAAAGAATATAAAGAACTACGCATTATACTAATGAAATGCATTTACGACAAAATATGATTATAATTATAGGTACTTACTTTACTTGTTTAAATGCTCCAATGTAACCAACCATTCCACAAGATTCCTCTGCTTTGGAGTCCGTTATTAATAAATCACTTATCTAATATCAATTACAAATAACATAACAATAACATTGATTTTCAATAATTTAAATTTAAAAAAAAACATACCCTAACCCGAAAAAAGAAACGTCAAAAAATCAATTCTTCTTCTTCTTCTCAACTCAAATTATAGATCAAGTAGTTTTAAAACTAAAATATTATAACGTGGCGCCATCTATCGTAAGAATCTGAAACTAAACACACTGGCAACCATAGAAAAAGCTGGCAATGTTGTCAATAGCCTAGTGACGTAATTAGGAGATTTTTTTTTGTAAATATCTCGAAAACGGTAAATTCAATTGAAATTCCGATTTCACAGAAATGTTTAAAATTACAAAACGCCTTGAATAAAACCATAAAAAGTATAGGTCAGAAAAAATTTAACTACCCCATTTGGGCTTCCAAAATAAAGCGAGGAGCAAGCGTTTCTTTACTTTGTCGCTCACCGAGCGACAAAGTAACTAAAACGCTCGCTTAGTTACCATGAAAACCATAATAACAAAACGTCTAGACGACCCAGGAGCACTGACATCATTCACCTACACTCATTTTCTTAACATACCCTACACATATCGTGAGAATAACTAAAAGGTGAATACATTTGTAACCTAAAAATATACCAATGTACTATGCTCCACACTTCAAAGTCCCACCACGTGACCAGGTACGGAACGCAGTCTTTTGTAAATTTGTCATTTAAGGCTTTTCAGGTTATGTATCTGTCAAAGTATAGTCAATAAAATAAATAATATTTATACTGTTACCGTTTATGTTTTTTAACGCTTAAAAGCGTTAAAAGTTTATAAATCTTTATAGTATCACAGTAACAATGGTTGGTTTAAGAGTTTAGGAGTATAAATTCTGCATTTAATGAAATTCTAAAGTGTATAGTGCCAAATAAGTAAAATTTTTGTGCATTTTGTCTACATAATATGTTAATATATTATATCTGGTTTTATCCATAAAATAGTTTTAACTAAACGGCATTTATTAAAAAAATGTAGCTTCTCTATTATGGAATAAGAATATCTGTATCAAAGGGAGGTTAATATATTATAACAAAAAATATCATCTAATTTTAAAATTTTAAGGTTAGAAAAATCTATTTTGATCAAAATAAATAAGTATTTTGGATTATTTGGAAGAGTGTGTTAATATGGTCATATAAATATAGATATACTAAATAATTGTTGAATATGGTTTAAATTAAATTAAAGCTTTTATACTCCTAACAACAAAACTTGTGCATACCTCTCAGGATCCCTACTTTAAGTTAGATTATAAGGAAACAAACAATTTTATTCATTTTAAGGTGTTGTTTTGGATTCCTTTAAAATAAACCCCTGTAATGTTGGTTTAATTGGAATAAAACACACTTTTAAAAATCTTGAAATATATTTAAGTTTTAAGTACTTTAAATAAATAAATATTTATGCCCAAGTAAAACAAATTAGTCATTAACTACCTAAATGTAAGCTGTAATTAAATAACTTGCTCTTGGAAATAAGCACCATGAGAGATCTCAAATATAAAACCATTAGGTAGGTACATACAAAGGGTGTATTATCTTTGGGTACATACTGTAACTGTAAATTGGAAATTCAATAGCTAACCTTCTTAAAGTTCCTTACACTGTCAGCTAATATACCCATAGTGTCAATACAAGTACCTATAAAAGCTTCGACAAAATTTTATCTACATCGAACAATCATTAGGTATAAATAACCTTATAAATTCTAAAATTTAAATAAAACCACAGTATACTCTATCTAATTTTTTACTTGTAGTAGTCTTTCTTATCCAGCTTAAAGTATACCTACATAAAGTTTTGTCAATACAATTACGTATAAAGCTTCAACTGAATTTTATCTTCATCGAAAAATCATTATAACTTTTAAAAATTCAACAATTATTTAGTATATCTATATTTATATGACCACTCTTCCAAATAATCCAAAATACTTATTTATTTTGATCAAAATAGATTTTTCTAACCTTAAAATTTCAAAATTAGATGATATTTTTTGTTATAATATATTAACCTACCTTTGATACAGATATTCTTATTCCATAATAGACAAGCTAAATTTTTTTAATAAATGCCGTTTAGTTAAAACTATTTAATGGATAAAACCAGATATATGTAATTTACATAATGTAAACCAAATGCACAAAAATTTTACTTATTTGGCACTATACACTTTAGAATTTCATTAAATGCAGTATTTATACTCCTTAACTCTTAAACCAACCATTGTTACTGTGATACTATAAAGATTTATAAACTTTTAACGCTTAAACATAAATGGTAACAGTATAAATATTATTTCTTGCATTGACTATACTTTGACAGATGCATAACCTGAAAAGCCTTAAATGACAATTTATCAAAAGACTGCGTTCCGTACTTGGTCACGTGGTGGGACTTTGAAGTGTGGAGCATAGTACCAAGTTCTTCTTGGTTATCATTAAAACTAAAATAAATATACTCTTTTAGGCTTGGCATACTAACAAAACGAAGCCAGTGACCAAAAGATGCCCAAGAAAATTATTAAATCATAAAAATACAATACTCTTAAGCCGATATGCGATACACAGTGTGAACAGGTGTGTACTCAATAAACTATCTTATACTTATACAGTGCTTAACTTGTTTTTATTACATAAATCATGTTGCATTACTATTTGTAACGTTACATTCTATATCCAAAACAGGACTCTTTAAAATGCTTAACTGCGAAGTCAAAGAAAGGGTTCCTCAAGAGTTCTTTTTGAGAAGTCTGGAATAGTTTGATAGGTGAATTCAAAGTCTTACAAAATCGCAGGATCTGTCGAAACGACGCTTTTTCCGACAAATCAAGCATCTATATGAAACCGGGTTTACTGACATATTCTGAGTTTTTCCTACTAAATAAGTCTTATTCCGACTTAATAGGTCTTATAAATACAGTTTTTAAGAGAAAGTGAGACTTTCAAAACTCTTATTTTTAAATTTTAAAACTTTTTCCGAGAAAAATTAGCACAAGGGTTAACATGTATGTTATTTTATAATTTATTTTTTTATTGTAGCATAAATTTTTGGAAGAGGAAGCAAGAGCTGCTGTAATGGAAATGATTATGAGAGCAGAGGAACAAGCAATGAAGAATGAGCTTCAAAGAATTGCTGATGAGATGGCAGCACTAGAAGATGAAGAACATGAAGAAAATTTTGAAGATGAAGCCAGGGATGTTTTGGGCGAATATACTGGCCCTAAAACGATTTCCAAAATTAATCCATAACATTTTTTATTTATAAAAACACATTTTAATATATACACTATTTTTTTTTAATTTTATTAACTTACCCAAATACCACATTAAATGGTGACTTGAGCTGCGTCAGCTCACATCGCACTGTGGGCTCCGGAATAACAATTTTGGTCAAAAAGATAAAAAATATTGTTTGTTTAAAATAAAGTTTAGAATTTTATAAAATGCACTAGTATAAGACAGAAACGCTATTTGGTATGAAATGAAACACCATCAAAAATTATACAGGGTGGAGGAAAAGACTGGAAGGCTTATTTTTTATTTGCATGTATGAGTATTTTAGGAATGAGCATTAAAACATGTGTTTGGCCTAAGAATTTGCGAAAAAGGGTGGGACCATAGAAAATTAACTAAATGCAACCCCCCCCAGTTATCAAATAGTATTTGCGACTTGCGCTGATTTATGTATCCAAGGTGAAATGTTAGGTTATCGCTTGTAACATACAATTCTATGATTTGGGACAGAAAAGGAAGTTAATTAAGTTATTTTTTTTTATAGATTCACTCTTTTACAGACTTTTTTAGAATACGCATATTTTAAGCTCATTTCTTAGTGGCAATAAAAACTATGGAATATTTTTTTGTTTGATTTTAATTTTTTACAGTAGAAAATAGGCCACAAAAATTAGTTAAACTCTATTAAGCAAAATAATGATTAACAAAAAAAAATTTAGTTGAACTTATTAAGTAAGTAAGATAATTATTAACAATACTATTCCTCTTCGGAATCGGATGATTCACTTTTTGCCAATGATGAACTATCATCCTTAAGCAGATGCAAAGCTTCAGAAAAAAAAATTTGTTTATTTTTCTTGGGTAAACTTCTTAATCCAGATATAAATGGATCAGAAGAGATTAGGAATCTATTTAAGAGATCTTGGTTGGTATCAATTCTGGACCTTTTTCTGGAAAAATGCTCTCTGTAGTGCTTAAGATCTTTGTTACGTGATTCCTGCGCTTCTTCTGATAACATCCCTATAGGAAGTATTGCCGCCGAAATTATTGATGCACCATGAATTAAGACTTTATGCACGCTGCTCGGCATATAGTAAAATGGATATTTATTTACCAACAAATTAGCAGTTTCTTCCGCATATTCCTGAAATTTACTTTCGTTTATCGCAAAACCTGATGACATGACTTGTAATATACAAGAGCAACGTCTGATGCATTCTTCGTTTAGTTCTAATATCTTGGAGGTGGCTAATGGATCGGCAAAAAATCTTCTACTGGTATTGCCATCATTACTTGTTCCACTTCCACCTGCTTTTACTTTATCGATAATCAAACCCATTTCGGTTCTAAATTTAAGCTGAATATTTTTCTTTCTCTCTTTTACACTGTCCTTTTCCTCTTGCGATCTAGCCTGCCATTTTTTGATATCTAGTCTGTAAGCCACATGTAAAAAATATTCCATGAAGCGTATCCACGCATGGAGAGTCGATAATCCATAATCAAGGGCCTCGTTGTTAATTGGTCTAGTTTTTACATTTTGTATATTGTTCATTATTTTAGGTGTTGCTTCACAGATGTTGCAGGCTTGGCTTGAAGATGTCTCTGTCATAACACTACAGATCTTCCCGTCAATCATCGTCATTTTCATTTGGTGTTTGATGGATAAAAGTTGACCGTTGTGATTCATCTCTGTAGGTTTTAGTTCATAAATTTCTTTTTTTACAGAGGCTGCTTCTTGTAACGTGAAAGTAGTAGTTTCTTTCTGAAAATAAAAGTGAAGTGGCCTACAATACCTCGTTGACGATGGTCTAGGGTTCTGCCAATAAATTATTTTTTGAGTCGGATCGATTTTTGAGTAAGAAAATAATTGCAAAGGTACAAGTGAAGTTAAAAAAATATTTGAATCCGAAGCATTTTCAGTTTCAATAAACTGCTTGTATTCACTGTGACCTGTGCTACCGTCACAACCCCATTTTGTGATTAAAATTAAGTCAAGAGGTCCATATGTATTTTCGAAAACTTCTGATTGAGATAAAATAATTCGGAAAACAGTATGGTCCAAAAGTCCTTGTAACTTAATTTTTGCAGATAACTCTGTTACCAAAATGTTATCAGGAGATGGATAACAGCATAATTTTGCCTGCAACATTTTTTTGTATGAAGGATAAACATCAAAGTTTCTTTCTTTTCCTTCTCTTCTGATGGTTAAATAGTCACTTTTTGATAACTTAGTCTCAATTATCAAGCTAAGTGCTTCTTCACTTGTGTATGGTATAATTGGCTTTGATTTCTGTATATTCCAATTGCTTATTATTTTTGAGGCTCTAGTAGGAGAGGTTTCGAGACTCTCTTTAAGCAGTTTGACTTCATCTCTTTTTCCGTCTATTTTTAAACTTAGCTTTGTCGCCCCAATTAACTGATTTTGCTCGCAACTTGTTGCCAATTCCTTAATTTTTCTTCTTCTAGTTCTTTCACTACTGGAGGAAAATGACTTTTCGGGTCTTCCCAGCGAGTTTGTTGGCGTTTGCATGTTATCCATTTGCGGGAATAGAAGAACAGTACTATTTAACCATTTAGTGTTTTGTTTTAAAAACCTACTCTTCGTACGATTACTTTTTTTCCACCTTTTGGATAGCTGGTCGCAAATTTCATTAATTTTTCTTTTTGTAGACTCTTCAAACTTGGGGCTTTTGATATTCATCATATTTAAGATCTCGCGACATACTTGTAGATTTTTATCTTTATGATTACCGTTTTTATCAATCCAGAAATTAAACACATCTATTCTTTTAAGATTCATGTTTTCACTTGCCCTGGATTATTCTGTAACAAAAGAATTCAGTTAGCAAATGAAAAATGTAAGATTTATTTTATTTATTTTTCTTATTAAGCTATTTATTTCTAGTCTCATGAACAGCTTTAATCCCGATTTTATTCAAACAAGAGTTTTGCAGTTTTCAAAATATCATTCTTTAATTTGCAAACACCCTGTATATGTAAAAATGCTTAACTCACCTAATAGACTTTGGTTTGCATAGTACCTTCTCAATAAAACAAGAAAATTTCGTTTCTATAATAGTTTTAAGTAGGTATATGTAAAAAAATCCATAATGTTATTTTTATTAGTTTTTCTTTTTAAACACAACATACTTCAAAAAATTAAAAATTTTGCCTGGAGGCGAATTGGGGCAAAAGTTTTTGAAATATTTTTTTTCTACAGACACTACTGTATCTAAAACCGAATAAACTGGAAAAACGGAGAATGACAGAAAGCAATATTTTAATGTTAGAAAGTGTTTTTTTTTTTTAAATAATACATCTTGCGCATGTAAGCAGTAAATAAGCTCTACGGCCACATACCAAATCAAATTTTAACAAAAAAAAACGTTTTTAAATTTTACTTACCTTTCTCTAATTAATGCGTGTAGTACACAAACTGTAGGCACTGTAACTACTTTCTACAAAACAACTCAAAATCAGATAAAAAATCTCTTAAAAATACAATTTTTTTCAAGTTTCAAACACCTTGACAATAAACTTCTGACTGACAGCAAACAGTGCGACTTTTGGTTATGCATTTATTTTTCTAGGCCTACTAGATTGTTTGCTTTAGAAAAATGCTTACTGGAAGGATATTATAAATAGTTTATTTTAAATCAGTTATGACCAAAATTATGATTCGAGAATCCACTGTGCATCGGTTAGATTTGTAAATGTGCTCGTTCTTTTTGCAATACTTACTTTGAGTAACCTGATATGTTTGCTTTCTCCTCACCAATATATTGCATATACCTACTGCATAATATGCAGTGCGGGGTATCAGTTTGGATTGAGTCGGAAACAAAGTGGAGGGGATCAAAAAATAGTTCGTTTTTTTATTCATAATTTGACGTCAAAAATTTGGGGGAATAATTGGCAAATTCTAGGGTCCTTAAATTTATAGTTGGCTACATTGAGAAGACTAAACTATAGTTTATCTATTTTGGTTTCATAATGACTTCATTATAACACCGCTTTTGGTTCTTTAATGAGGTACTTTATTCCACCCAAAATTTTTATTTTATAGGTTGGCTACTGGTAAAATACAATTTTGAATACCTATAGGTTATAATATTTTTATGATTTGTTTTCTAGTACTTACGAGACTTTTCGTGCAATAAATTTTGTTTAACACCAAAGAAAATCCTTTTTTCTTCTTTAACAGCCGCTTATTGTAAATACTTATTGTAAATTAACGACGCCATAGCGAAAGAATGTGATAATGTTTGAAAGGTTAATGACCCTTCAAACTTCAAAATGTGATACCAACTATGTAAAGTAAAATTCCACCAAATTAAATATAAGGTATAAAATTAATTTGTTTTATGAAATGTTTGCAAAATAGATAAAATAGCATAAAGAACTCATGTCATAAGACCTTTTGTCGCACTTGTCCATTGTCCGCGTGCGACAAAATGACGTCTTATGACATTAGTTCTTTAATATACTATTATCTATTTTGGTTTCATTATGAAACTTTCATAATGACTTCATTATAACACCGCTTTTGGTTCTTTAATGAGGTACTTTATTCCACCCAAAATTTTGATTTTATAGGTTGGCTACTGGTAAAATACAATTTTGAATACCTATAGGTTATATTATTTTTATGATTTGTTTTCTAGTACTTACGAGACTTTTCGTGGAATAAATTTTGTTTATGCACGATGACATTATAATATGACAATTATAACAAAAATTCTTTGACGTAAACGTCTTTTTATAGCCCGCGGGCGTTATTATGGCCCGGGCTATAATGAAACGTCAAAAATTAAAAACAACAATGTTACACCATTTGATATACCTATTCGAAGTAAGTTTTTTCGTATAAAGATTTTGATTTTACCGGCAGCAGGCCGCAATTTTTCGCCTTTTCAGCTGCTTCCTCAATTTCATTTATCTTTAAACTTTAAAACTGACTGATGTCAGTTGACATTATAATATAACAAAAATTCTTTGACGTAAACGTCTTTAAAAACAATAATATATTAAAAATAATAATATATTAATCGTGCAT